AGACGGATCGATTGGTGAAAACCGTTTTGAGATATCTCTTTTCTAAAAGTTTTTATGAATGGTACTAAAGTTCTAAAAAGAAAAACACGTGTCGCTGGTGCTCCTCCGATTTTTCATCAACCCAATATATATGAATAAAGGCTGTAGCTGGTTGGGTAAAGGCTGTAACTGGTTGGGTAAAGGCTGTAGCTGATGGGGTACAGGCTGTAGCTGATGGGGTACAGGCTGTAGCTGATGGGGTACAGGCTGTAGCTGATGGGGTACAGGCTGTAGCTGGTTGGGTAAAGGCTGTAGCTGATGGGGTACAGGCTGTAACTGGTTGGGTACAGGCTGTAGCTGATGAGGCTTTTATTGGGTTGATGGAAAAGTCCTTTCCGATTTTTTGGCGGTGTACCTTAAATGTGTCGAATTTTGACGTTTTATAGCTCATCCTAAAGCTGAATTCAAGACGGATCGATTGGTAAAAACCGTTTTGAGATATCTCTTTTCTAAATTTTAGGGTACAACAAAAAAAAACGAGAAAAACGAAGGAAAATCGCGAAAAGCGGCGGAAAGGCTTTTGATCTGAGGGTCGCTGGTTCGACTTCCACCGGTAACAATTGCTAAGATTCTGAAAATGCGTTATTTTTGACGCTGATCACGAAACACATGTTTTTAGCCTAGGTTTCTGCACGGAAAACTAACGAAACGTGAAAACAGCCATTTTTTGGCTCTGCCGCCCTTTACTAAAATAGCTGTAAAAACTTTTAGAAAAGAGATATCTCAAAACGGTTTTTACCAATCGATCCGTCTTGAATTCAGCTTTAGGATGAGCTATGAAACGTCAAAATTCGACAAATTTAAGGTACTCTCTCAAAAAATCGGAAACGACTTTTCCACCAACCCAATAGATGAAGCACACTCCAATACGCTTAAATAGAAATAGGAAATAGAAACAATAGACGTATCAGTTTTATATTAAAAGAATGGTTTATCTCATTGATCAATCAAGTACGATAGGTATGATTTGAGTGAAAGAAAAGAGATTTTAAAGCACTTTACACAGTACTTTTAAAGTACTTTACACTTGCCTCCGTAATCAGATGACAAGTAATGACAAAAGAGCGATCTAAATCTGATTTTCAATCTATTGAATTACCAACACTATTGTAGTGTTTTAAAACTTTTTCTCATGTTAGTCATTCCCTGTGAAATCAAATTACTTTGTGATTCGGTCGCGTGGGAGAAAGACGAAAAATCATCAGATTAGAAAACCCATTGCTTACAAGGCTTCAAATTGAGATTCTATATAAGAAATTTAGCGTTTTGTTTCTTGATATCAGAAATATCTCTTATATAGACTTTTTTGAACGATAAAATACGCAAATCGCCATTGGCAACTTTGAGCTCAAATTTCTTGGTGTTGGCTTATCCAATTTGAATAGTTTTTGTACCAATCGATAGAGAAAGACTTGGCGCAGCTAATGATACCAAAATATTGAGATTGAACAGCTTAACACCGAGATATTTGAGCTCAAAGTTGGATTGCCAATGGCAAAAGAGGCGGCCCGCGTATATAAGCCCCTAAGCCCCGCCTCCCTGCCATTAGCAATCTAGTTTCAAATTGAAATTCTATATAAGAAATTTAGTGTTTTGTTTCTTGATATCAGAAATATCTCTTAAATAGACTTTTTTGAACGATAAAATACGCAAAATAGATATCTTGATCCCTTCTAAAGATCAAATTACAGCTAAAAAGAGATCTAAATCTAATTTTCAATCCATTGAATTACCAACACCATTGTAGTGTTTTAAAACTTTTTCTCATGTTAATCATTCTCTGTAAAATCAAATTACTTTGTGACCCGGTCGCATGGGAGAAATACGAAAAACCATCAGTACCGAGATCTCATAATGCTAAAGGTTATTTTCAAATCTAATTTCGAGTAGGCTAACGTTTACTTTCATACTAAATAGCTGTCAATTAGTACAGTTGTTTTTGAAAGTTTACACGTTTTCGCAAAAATCAAGAGCACCACAAATTCTGCAAAAGGTTAAATGAAAAAGAAAACACTTTTTTCACAGTTAATTTCGATCCACTACAACCTTAATTCTAATACATCAATTTTCTGGTGTCTATTTTATGAATTTCAATTAAAAGTTCCGAGTTTTGATGGATTGGGATCGGCCGCGCCAAATTTTTTGCGCAACTAGGTCTTTCGTGCCATAACTTTTTAACTCGCCATAACTTTCTTCTAAGTCGGCCAATCTTTATGGTGTTGGTGTCATTCTGTTGGACTTATTGAGATCTACAGATTGAAATTAAAATCATAAAGATTGGTCCACTTAGAAAAAAGGTATGTGGTCCTTTGCTGGGTCATTTGCGCAACTAGGTAGCTACTTTGCGCGGCTACCTTTGCGCAACTCACCATAACTTTCTTCCAAGTCGATCAATCTTTATGATTTTGGTTTCATTTTGTAGATCTCAAGAAGTGCAACAGAATGAAACCAAAATCATAAAGATCCAAAATCATATCTTATTTTTTTGAGGTAAAAATGAGTCCAATTTTAGTATCAATGGTACCGGGAAGAAAACGAAGCCGTGAACAGCTTGTTCACCGTCTATTTTCGAGCGAGCAACTCAACGGCTACTTTACCGGATTGTGAACATCCGACAGCAACTCTAACATCAAGTACAATCGTTTGAAGAAAAGCTTTGCAACGATTACTCCAATGAAGACTGAAAAACAAGGAAATCTTGCCAATTTTTGGGATAGGCTACTTTGCGCCAAATTTTTTGCGCAACTGGGTCATTTGCGCAACTAGGTCCTCGCAACTCGCCATAACATTCTTCCAAGTCGGCCAATCTTTATGATGTTGGTTTCATTCTGTTGCACTTCTTGAGATCTACAAAATGAAACCAAAATCATAAAGATTGATCGACTTGGAAGAAAGTTATGGTGAGTTGCGCAAAGGTAGCCGCGCAAAGTAGCTACCTAGTTGCGCAAATGACCCAGCAAAGGACCACATACCTTTTTTCTAAGTGGACCAATCTTTATGATGTTGGTTTCATTCTGTTGCGCTTATTGAGATCTACAAAATTACACCAAAAGCATAAAGATTGGCCGACTCAGAAGAAAGTTATGGCGAGTTGCGCAAATGACCCTGTTGAGCAAATAAAATGGAAATTAGCCTACCCCGATGAGTTTCATCGTTCAATTAACTGAATGAATTTTAACTTTGTGACTTTTTCCAAAGCATTTAGCATTCCAAAGCATTCCAGCTTTTAACCTTTAACTTTATTTCACGAAGCTGAACATATCAAAGTACAATTGTTTTAAAGGGAAAAACATCTTGAGATCTTAAAATAAGAAAAATGACGTGATTTTGAGTTATTCAATGTATTAATTACTCGTTTGAAAAGTTCAAATGATCGAGGTAGAAGATGTTGGGTGAATTTTAATGAAGCAAGAATCAAAAAGCAACAAGAGGAGAGTTTTTTTTTTATGCATTTTTCAAAGAACTTTTCGATTCAGCAAAACTGGAGACGTCAAACGAACCGAGATGAAAAATTTATGAGAAAAATTACAAGGAAACAAAGAAAATTGGCTTTAAAATACGGTCAAGCTTGAGAAAAGCGCAAAAATCTTTGATCACTTTAAAATAGGGTTTTGTTAAAATTAAGCAAAAGACATTATGGCTTTATTCTGATGGGAAATAGGTTGAAATTTTTGGAAAAACAAAGTAAATCAAGCTGAAAGTTGGGTGATTTCGACAAAAAATACATAAAAATTGTGTATTTGAAAAGGGGAAAGGGGATTTTTCAAGAGTAAAGTGAAGTTTTTGAAAGGAATTCTGTAAAAAATGAGGCTCACTGAGAGATTTCTGAATAAAAAACACTATAAAAACTGAAAAATCCAGTTTCTAAATGGTAAGTAATTCAAAGAAACTATCGTAATCTTTTCTTGATGTCAAAAGGGGCGGCCCGCGTATATAAGCCCCTAAGCCCCGCCTCTCTGCCATTGGCAATCTAGCTTTGAGCTCAAATTTCTTGGTGTTGGGCTGTTCAATTTGAATAGTTTTTGTACCAATGGATAGAGAAAGACTTGGCGCAGCTAATGATACCAAAATATTGAAATTGAACAGCTTAACACCGAGATATTTGAGCTGGAAGTTAGATTGCCAATGGCAAAAGAGGCACCTTTTATACGCGCCTCGTCCCTTTGCCATTGGCAACTTTGAACTCAAATATCGTAACTATCGTAATCTTTCCTTTACATTTGTTTCAATGAATTTTTGATTTTAATATGAATTAAAGTTTGAATTGAATGCGATTAAGTAGATCGAAAAACTAAAGAAAAGAAAACGATAATTTCAACAATTTCCCATCGAGCAAAAGAACCCTTTGCTTACAAGGTTTCAAATTGAAATTCTATATAAGAAATTTAGCGTTTTGTTTCTTGATATCAGAAATATCTCTTATATAGACTTTTTTGAACGATAAAATACGCAAATCGCCATTGCCAACTTTGAGCTCAAATTTCTTGGTGTTGGGCTGTTCAATTTAAATAGTTTTTGTACCAATCGATAGAGAAAGACTTGGCGCAGCTAATGATACCAAAATATTGAGATTGAACAGCTTAACACCGAGATATTTGAGCTCACAGTTGGATTGCCAATGGCAAAAGGGGCGGCCCGCGTATATAAGCCCCTAAGCCCCGCCTCTCTGCCATTGGCAATCTAGTTTCAAATTGAAATTCTATATAAGAAATTTAGCGTTTTGTTTCTTGATATCAGAAATATCTCTTATATAGACTTTTTAGAACGATAAAATACGCAAAATGGACATCTTGATCCCTTCTAAAGATCAAATTACAGCTAAAAAGAGAAGAAAAAAAGTTACAGCTAAAAAAGGAACCATTTTGGGCACTTCAGAGCTATTTTTGATAATTAAATAGGAAAAGAGCTTTAGAAGAAGTAGATTTTGTTGTATTTTTTCTTTAAAATCAATTTTGCTTTCAGAAAATTGGAAGAACAGAGAGAAGATAGGTGACAGCAGCGATCGCCGGCGAGACAAAGTGATGACGTTGCCACACGGAAAGTGTATGCTTTGAGGAGTAACCTGGAACAAATAACATAATAGGAATAATACTAATATAAGAATATAATAGTAATAATGATGCTGCTCTTAGAAAATGCACAAAATGCTTGAAGAATTGCGGTGAATGCCTTATTCACCGCAATTCTTCAAGCATTTTAGAATACTAGATCTAGTCTTTTGAGATGATTAAAGAAATGAAACCCTTTTCCTAGTAAAGCTAAACCAAATCCCGTTTTTGATATTCAACTCACCAGTATCACTTTGACTTCCATCAAACACCATTCCCAAATAGATCAAATGATAGACGTTGATCACCAAGAAGATCGCGTTGATGATAAGAGCAGCCCAATTACGCTTTCCGCGACGGAAACGCGACAACACGAAGCGATTTGAGAGTTTCTCACGAAGCTCTGAAAACAATAAGTTTATCATAGAGTTTTTGATCTGAAAAGGAATTGAAAAAGTTGATTTCTGGAGAGGGGATTGAAACTAGACCGTTCGCTTTCCAGACTGAGCTATTTGGCACCTTAGTTGTCTAGAGAAAGAAGGAAAGACAAGGGGGAAGAAAGAAAGAAAGAAGGACAGAAAGAAATACCTTATTATCGATACTAGTAAGTGGCTCTTTTCTCGGTACTTTATAGATCAATTCAAATTATCTAAGCAAGCAAGTTTATCTAAGCAAAGTGAACCAACTTCTCTGTAGGTCTTTGATCTAAAGTTAATTTACAAAACTAACCATGCTCAGCATAGCAATAGAATCCAAGTGAGAAGAGCACAGTGGAGAGTTGGAAATTCAATCCGTGGAAGAGGGCTGAGGTGGCAAAAGTAGCCGCAAGAGCCAACACGCCGCCAAAACGGTGAACCTCGTTGAAGATGTCTAAAAGGATTTCATTTCAATTATCATATTATTAAGGAGAACATTTTCATTAAGACTCAGAGTGAAGTGGGTGAGCAGGTAAAAGCTCGTAGAAGCCCTATAGGGCTCGTAAAACCCCTATAGGGCTCATAAAAGCCCTAAGAGCGTAACCTAAGTTTACACTCAAAGAACAACTCATTTCTCGGCGTCTAGACACTCGTTTTTGTGCGCTTAAGTATCAAATTAAAGTAGAAAGATAGGGGAATTTTTTAAGCTATTACATTTATTTTTAACTTTAACCAGTGCTTAGAAAAAGATCAGTGAAAATCGGCGAAAAAACGTCCTAGTCAGACAATGTTATCCTGCAATTTTTTGGTTTAAAAAACCTAGAACACTTGAATATAATAGCTTATTTCATTTTGCAATATCTTTATTGCTATCTCATTGTTGCCATTACTCACATTTCTTGAGGTAATTGTGCATTGGAATGTTCCAAGCAACGACCACATCTTTCATTGACCATGGGATCTCGATGAGATGAGGATTCACGGCGACAGTGCTCACTCCAGAGAGTTGGGCCAACGCTGGAAACAAGAAGTCATCATAGAAGTCATTATAGAAGTCAATTTGATTTGATTATGCTAACTCTAACATTAAATTTCAAAGGAAATTACTGGCTTTGTCGGCTACAGTTGCCGGTTATTCTTAATTTAAACTTCTTAACTTAACTTCTATAACTTTCTCTTATTACTAGAGTACTCTAGAGTACTCTTATTGCTCTAGAGTACCTCCTAGAGTACCTTGTACCTAGAGTACCTGTTACTCTAGAGTACCTTGTACCTAGAGTACCGTAACAAGAGTACTTGTTACTCTAGAGTACTCTTGTTACTCTAGAGTACTCTTGTTACTCTAGAGTACTCTTGTTACTCTAGAGTACTCTTGTTACTCTAGAGTACTCTAGAGTACTCTTATTTTATCTAATACTAATATCTAAGCCAACCTTGCGACAAGAAGCACACAAAATAGTGTGAGAAGCGGAAAGATTGCGCGATTCCATACTCCTTGAGACATTGGCATTTGGGAAAGACGAGCTCGATGATGCAAGATGAGTAAACAAGACAGAAACCGGCAATCAATAAAGCGAATGAGGCTTTGATGAGTGATTGGAATTCTTGCTAAAAAAAAGAACTCTAAAGAGAAGATTCCTTTTCTTCCTTTACCTTCCACTTTTGTGGGGCTAACGAGCGAAGGTGTTGATCAAAAGTGAAGAATGGACCGAATGGAATAGTGGCTGGAGAGATCAAATAGGAGACCATTGAGGGGAGATCGGCAGTCTGAAATTTAAGAAAATTCCTTGATTTGTGATCAAAAATTGATAGATTTAAAGAAATCAGTCTTTTTAGACAGATAGACAGCTAATGATTACTGTATTCTCTCTGATAGTAGTGAATCTTAAGCTTTGCCTAAAAGCTTTGCCTCTCGAGAACCGCTTATCAGAACCTATCGATGTGGGGTTGGAAAATGTAGCTGACGATGAGATCTAGTAGGGAATTTGAGTGTTGAGCTTCTGCAAAAGCTTGGAAACTGTAAAATTGTCACCAACTCGGCTCGCCGGGGGTGCACTACTATTAGAGAAATATGGTCTGTAAATTTTGCACCTGTCAAGCTGTAGAACTTAGTTAGATGTAGAATTTGGTGAATAATCTAGATAAAAAGCTAGAGATATTTAATATTCACCCGTCTGCGAGCCAGCGACTTTTGAAAATCGAATGCAAGAGCTGAGAGCTTCATCGCTAAAATCATCAGACAACCACGCGATGCGGTGAATTGATTGGCTGGTAGACGGTATTCACTGAAAGAAGGTTACAAAATTGATTAAAGATTGATTACAGATTTCTAAATTCATTGCCAATTCCTTTACTAATGACTGTGATCTGATTTTCCAGCCTCTGAAGGCCCGGGTATTTCCTTTTCTTTCTTCCTTTCTTTCTCTTCCTTATCTTTTCTATTTCTTCAAAGGCAAAGAAGGCTCTAATAGCGTGGTAGAGAATCTGCTCGGTAAGCAAAAGATCGAGGGTTCAATTCCCCTTGGTTCCAAACTTACAGAGCAACGATGTATCCAAGAGCAGCCAAGGTGAATCCATATCCACTCCATTTGCATGAGGCATACTTGATGATGACAGCGGAAATGATCGAGCCGATTAAAGCTGTTCTGATCACGAAAGGGTTGTCGAGCCATTGCACGAGCGAGAGATAGCCGAGGAAGACGAGGAACGGGTTGAGAAGCCAGCGATGGACGAAAGTCGCTGGAATTGGATTTGGTTGAACTACTCGACTTGTTATTTAAAGTCTTGTTATTTAAAGTCAACTTCAGCGTTGGCCTAGTCAGTCAGTATTAGTCAGCCTATCCCTTATTAAGCTAAAAACTCACGAGAGCGAGTGGCTAGGCGTCCAACAAGAGTAAGAACGATCGAGTAGATGATCTGAGCCTGGACAGAAGCCAACGTTCCTCTTGAGCAAGTCTAAATGTCAAGTTCAATGTTTCAAACAAATTTTGGTTGATTTTAAGACCTAGAAGTGGAAATTTTGTTCTCTAATACTGCAATTCCCAACCTGAATCTGCGAGATTTTACTTAAATCACCCCATCCGGATGGCCATCGAAACCAGCTCTCGGGCACCTCGGGAACGAGTTGATCCACCACGTCGGCGGATGTCATTTCACTAAAAAACGTTTTTACTAGATCGATTATGGATTTAAAATTGCAAAAACAAAAGGAAAGGTGAAGCAGGAGAAAGGTAAGTGCAGAACAAATAGAAAAAAAACGGAAAAAAAGAGAAAAGTGCAACATGATAACGCTCAGGGATCATCGACTAGGGAAAGAAGGAAAAGATTTCGATAAACAAAAGAAATTGTAGCAAAAAACTACGTAGAGACGAGTTTTTCTGTACAGTAAAATGTCTTAATCTTTGCTAGATCGATTATCAATACCAGGGAATCTGAGTTTGAATGGCTTTTAAGGGTAAGTAAGCCTTGTAAGTCTAAGTCTAAGCCTAAGTAAGCCTTGTAAGCCTAAGCCTAAGTAACCCTTGTAATCCTAAGCCTAAGCAAGCCTTGTAAGCTTAAGCCTAAGTAAGCCTAAGCCTAAGCAAGCCTTGTCATTCTAAGCCTAAGTAAGCCTTGTAATTCTAGGCCTAAGCAAGCCTTGCAAGCTTAAGCCTAAGTTGCTTTCAAGAGAAGTCTGAGATTTTGATTTTAAATCTTAAAATTTCAAGCCAGAGATTTGAAACTAGGAACTGGGAACTTTTAAGGCTAAGTAAGCCTTGTAAGCTTAAGCCTAAGTAAGCCTTGTAAGCCTAAGCCTAAGCAAGCCTTGTAAGTCTAAGCCCAAGTAAGCCTTGCAAGCCTTGTAAGCTTAAGCCTCAGTAAGCCTTGTAAGCCTAAGCCTAACTAAGCCTTGTAAGCTTAAGCCTAAGCAAGCCTTGTAATTCTAGGCCTAAGCAAGCCTTGTAAGCCTAAACCTAAGTTGCTTTCAAGAGAAGTCTGAGAATTTGATTTTAAATCTTAAAATTTCAAGCCAGAGATTTGAAACTAGGAACTGGGAAGGTAAAGCGGCATAAGAGTTTAGTGTTTAAATCGAATATTAAAGTAAACCTAAGAAAACGAAGGAGATCTATTTTAAGGCATCTGTTTCAATTTTTATAAAAACCGCGAAAACATCTGTAGGTCACAGAGAGGAGAAAGATGGCTTGGGTGAGGGTGCAGAGAAGAAAAGGATTGCTGCTAGCACTGGCAACGCTCCAAATAGTCGACGATCTGTTGGGTGAAGAGAGAAGAGATGGACAGAGGAAATGGTGTCTTGACTGGGGCGGAGTATCCCAGCCACCCACCCATCCACCTCCCACCCACCTCCCACCCACCAGGAGGTCACGAGGCTCTCTCTTGTACCCTCTTGTTATGTGTTCTTGTTCTCTAGGGATGGGGAAAGTAGAGGAAGAAAGGTTTGGTAGGGGACGCCAAGTGACCTCCACCCTCTCCCACCAAAATTCAAATCCCATCCAGAACACCCCTCCAAAACCCCTTTATCCCTTCTTTTCTCTCTCTCTAGCCCACATCATTCTCACCAATAATTGAAGGGTTTTTGGGTAGTAAATCCAATGAACGGGTGTTTGTCTTCGGGCAATAATAAAATGTGATTTAATGGATAGATTAAAAAACTGACACCAGGCAAAAAAAAACTGTCAAGAAGATCACTGATAGTGAGCCCGAGAATCTGTAGCTCATAGTCAGGAAAAGTTAGGGCCAAGTTGGGGCGGTCAGATGTCCAAAGCTGATTACAGAGTATGTCCAAAGCTGATTACAGAGTCCAGCATCTATAGGGTTGCGTTTTATGCATCTTTTTATCTTTCTAAGACAACCTAAGTTGAAAAACAACGATTATTCAAAATCTATACGTAATTTTCCATAGAATAGAAAAACTGTAACATTTTTTTGATGACTTTGCCAAGCAGTACAAAAATGCTATGTGGCATGATGCTAAAAACAATTTAATTCGAGTTTGGGGCCTCTAAAAAATCGCAAATCGTCTTTTTCTGCATTAATACGTTTTTAGAGTTAAATACTATAAAAAGTCGTGCTTTTTGAGCTCCTATAAAAGTAGTGCATTATTGCAAATGCGAGCATATCTTGGCTAAACAAAAATGAGCATATTTTTGACAAATTTCAAGCAATCACTTTTAAAGTCTTATCTGAAACAAATGAAGTTTTCAATTTTTGAATGAATTTAGTAAAAAAAAGTCTCTAGTTTTTAAAGATCTAAACGAAAAACCTGTGAACTCTTATGGTTTTTGAGAAAATCATCCTTTTGTAGAGCTCAACACAATATATGCCGCAGTTCATTGAGTTCATTGTAAGTTCATTGAGCTGCCTTTAAAGTTCTCGTGATTTGTTTTATTTTAAAGTGTTGAAAAGACGAGGAAAACGACTTTAGCCAAGTCGACTCTCAGTTTAAAATATTCTCAATTCAGTCTTGCCAAACCCGTGCAAAGATGGTGAACCATTGTTGTCACCTGAAAGAGAACCAGTGATTTGTGGAGGAGAGGACACTTGCACAGCCGGTTATTTCTGTCATGTGGGCAGCTCACCCGAAACTACGAATTGTTGCCCTGGAAGTGAGAAACTATGACTCTTAAAAGATTTACTCGCTGTAACTGAGTTAACTTGTTAACAAGAAACCGGTTGGAGCTCGGTGGAATCTCAATATGCAGTATTAGCACATCTTGTAGAGCTCGGAAAGATGAGTCAAATTTTATGAAAATTACCTGCTTATGAGCCTTGTAAACATACAAACTAGCTAATAAGTTTTGGTCTTCAAAGACTGGCTCCAGACGGCTCAGAGGGCTAGTGGTTATTTCTGTGATGTGGTCATAAGTTCATTGAGATGACTTTAAAGTTCTTTAAAGACTTTAAAGCTTTTGTTTTATTTTAATTTTCACACAAACTCATAAATCTAGTGAAAAATGTTGATAGATTTAAAAAATCTTTCGAAAAAACTGGCAACTCTTTTGAATTTTTGAGAAAATAATCCTTTTGAAAACAGCTTTTCAGCTAAATTTTGAGATCCTTAAGCACAAATTTTGTTTAAGTACTTGAGATTGTATTGGGTTGTCCAGTTATGAATGCGCGTTTTTTACTATTTTGTAAATTTCTCAAGATACCGAAATCAAGAAAAAGATATATATGAGTATTATTCGAAAGCTGAAGATCTCCTCTACATTTTGATATAAAAAGCTTTTGAATTTGTCCAGCTTTTGGGCAAGTTGATGGCACAGAAGAAGAGGTGGCCAAAAAAATGGAAAGGTGCCTTTGGATCAAGTTTTGGCTCCGCTCAAATTGAGTTAACCGTTTGATGTTTGGCCAATAGATATATCAATACAACTTTTTTTAAAAAATATAACAATTTCAGAGCACCTTTTCTTTTCTGGGCGGCTATTTTACACCATAAAACTTGAGGATTAGCTAAGCTGGAATGGGTTTTTTCGAAAACGACCTCTCTCTTTGTGCAGTCAATTTCCCAAAAAGCTGAACAAATTCAAAAACTTTTTATATCAAAATGTAGAGGAGATCTTCAGCTTTCGAATGATATATAACACTCATATACAGCTGTCCGATACCTTGAGAAATTTACAAAATAGTAAAAACGCGCATTCATAACTGGACAACCCAATACTTAATTATTGAATAACATTGAAACAAATACATTACTCACATTAAGAAAACCCAGTGAAGAACGTTATTCCATTTCATTTTAAGCTTAACGTTAGCTTAAGCTTTGATTTTGCATGTAATTTTATTGGGTTGGTGAATTGAAAACTGCGGGCTATTGTAATATGTATTTGGACACTTTCTTCAAAACAAATCTATTTTAGTGCCAAAGTAAAAAAGATAGAGCTTATTTGATTATATAAGTCTTTCAAATTTGAAAACGATCTGTTCAGCGATTTTCTTTAAAACAGCAATTCAAATTTTTACTGGCTTAGTAAAAACTGCGGGCTATTGTCATCTGTGACAGTTTGAGCACTTTCTTCAAAAGAAACCCATTTTGGTGTCAATGGAAAAGTTGTAGAGAATCAAAAATCAAGCTTATATCCAAATTTTCAGAATGATTCAAAAACTCGTTTTCAAGAAATGCCAAGTTTACACAAAAGAAATGCCAAATTTTCACAAAACTTGCATTTTAAGCGAAACTACTGAGTGTATCTTTTTGGAAATTTGGATATAAGCCTAATTTTTGATTCTCTACAACTTTTCTATCGACACCAAAATGGGTTTCTTTTGAAGAAAGTGCTCAAACTGAGCTGACGGCTGACATCTCCAGTCCTCCATTTTTGAGTCTCATACTTGTCTCACACACAAACCAAAATCCTACTACGAAAGAGGAATCCGCAAATTGGCTGTAAAATGGGCAGAAGTCGTCAATAATAATGGAAATTATTTGGAAGGAATTGATGGTTTTATGTTGAATAAATTTTAGTTCAAAGTCCCGCAGTTTTCAATTCACCAATCGAATATTTTGTTTAAAAAAGTCCGTTTCGTGACCTTTTGCAATTAGCCGTTTTTTTTTAACCAAAAAGCCTTTCTAAATTGTTTTAGCGTATTTTATTAAGTTCCACATGCACCAGTTTATTTGATCAGAATTTAAAAAAATCGTGTGAACAACAATTTTAGCCTCCCAACAAAACGCAAGGCTTGGCACTCCTTGCGTTTCCTTGGACACGTAAATGTTTGCGAAGCTGACCTTCACATACAGCTAAGACAGACATCGTTGACAGCTTGACGATATCCTGTTGAGGCCACGAGGGATTCTGTGCGATGTCGCCCAGCTTCAGTCGTCAATAATAATGGAAATTATTAGGAAGGAATTTATGGTTTTGATGTTGAATAAATTTTAGTTCAAAGTCCCGCAGTTTTCAATTCACCAAACCCAATACTTGAGATCGTACTTAATCATTGAATAACATTGAAACGAACACATTACTCACATCACATTACTCAACCCAGTGAAGAACGTTATTTCATTTAATTTTAAGCTTAACGTTTGCTTAAGCTTTGATTTTTTTATAGAAAAATTGAAAAGTTTATTGATTGACACTATTCAGCGTGATCGTTTTCCAAATATTTTAAAAGCTCTTCCACATCTTTTCTTGAACCCATGTAGATTGGAGCTCTAAAGTTGAAAAATAGGAAATAATTTGGTTTTAGATCTTTACCTTTCATGAATCTTTGTTGGCAAGATATCCAAAATGTCACATTTACCGGTTGTCGCCAATCCGCCGGCTTGTTCACAAAGATAAGCCATTGGAGCACACTCGTAAAGTAGACGAAGCTGAAATTTGAGTTGTTTATTAAAGCTTATTATTAGAGCTATTATTAGAGCTGTTATTAGAGCTATTATTAGAGCTTATTAGAGCTATTATTAGAGCTTATTACAGCTATTATTAGAGTTATTATTAGAGCCATTATTAAAAATCGATGCATTTGCTTTTAAACTTTTACCTTTCCATTCGGAGCATCAGCCGTCGGTGGATATAAAAAGATTCCACCGTTCAGAAATGTGCGATGAACGTCGGCAACCATTGAGCCAACATATCGCTGTGCCATTCCCTTTTGTCCTTCCTGAAGAATTTGAATTGAAATTCTATTGAAATGGAATTGAATTTGGATTGAAATCGAATTGAAATCGAATTAAATTTGAATTGAATTTGAATTGGATTTGAATTGGATTTGAATTGGATTTGAATTGGATTTGAATTGGATTTGAATTGGATTTGAATTGTAATCCCAAAAGCTCCTGTTTATGAGCCAATCTGTTTTATGCATACATTCAAGTGTCCTCTTCCTGAAATAGACTAGCAAGGCGAAAGAAAACAAAAGAAAACCAAAGCCTAGCAAGCTGCCAACTCACTGATAACTTATTAAAAATATTCAGTGATATTTCTCTGAAAAGCAAAAAGTTTCGACCGTGACAGGACTCGAACCTGCAATCTTCGGATCCGAAGTCCGACGCCTTATCCATTAGGCCACACGGTCATGTCGCTCAGCCTTTTCAGAGCCCTTTTGAACAAAACGCTGGGAGGCCAGCGAGAAAAAGAGTGGAGAAAATCGAGAGAGTCAAAATCGAGTACGAGTCTAGTAAATGGGCAAAAGAAAGGGAAAAGAAAAGAATTTTAAAAAAGAAAAGATATTTTTCTTTTCTTTTTGTTGAAAAGGAAGTAAACAAAGTGAAAGGAGGCTAAATTTTTGAATATAAATACAACTTCTTATGTCATTTTCTTTTACCTCTGGAAATTTCCTTGTATGAATGTATTGTGTCAATCCATTAGACCAATGCTTTGCATAACCCTCATTGATTGAGTAGATCTTTCCCTTTTCAGGCACTCGCATCCGAGGATGGGTCAAAATGAACTCACCGATGCTCTAAATTTGGTCATTTCTTTTTCAAAAGCTCAATGAAATTTGTTGCTTCACCAATACTGTTCAAATGATTTGAAACTTATTTAGATTCTCCATTCAGCACAGAAAATAGGTAACTGTAGAGATAAATAGAAAAGTTACACATTATAAAACTTTCTTTGAAGAGTTTTGACTCTAAGAAAAGTCAAAATTTGGTTTCAAAGCTGATTTCAAAGCTATTTCAACAAAAATCTTGTCTAAATTATTGACAAATCAAAGCTTAATCTTAATAAAAGCTATTTACAAAAGACTAAAACAAATTTAATCGACTAATATAGATTAGATTTCATTATAAAACTCTCTTTGAAGAGTTTTGACTCTAAGAAAAGTTAAAATTCAGTTTTCAAGCTGATTTCAAAGCTGATTTCAGTTTATTTCAACAATTGTTTTAACGAAAAGTCCGCAATGAACAAATCTATCTTCTATTTTATTTCTTTTAGTTAATAAACTTGTTTTCATTTCATTTTAATGACAAAACATTTGTTGGGAACTGTGGAGAAATTTTGGGACAAATTTTTGGGGGTAAAGTTCATCTGTTTTCAAGGTTTTTTTCTGTTAAAAAGTCTCTCTGATGCAAAATTTCATTTTGAAAAGTTCTTTTTCGAGAAGAGAACAAAAATTTGCACGATTCGTAAACAAAAGTTTGTTATTTCACGAATTTCCAAGTAAAAAACACTTCCGGTTTTCTTTTTTTGCTCTAATTACAGTAATCTTTATAAGTTGATCTTTAAAAGTTCATCCAAAACTCATCATTTCTCTTCCATCTCATCTCCAAAACTGTCATTGATGATTTAGCTTGTTAAATTTGAACTTTAAAACTCACCGGATCCAGCATAAACCCATTAACCCCATGCCCTGTGCTCAAAACAACCATTGTCGCCGAACCATAAAGACAATATCTGAAAATCATTAAGACAATATTTTTAAGTTCATCAAAATCGTATTTCTTTTCTTGCAAACAGTCACACGATCAAAATTTTGCGATTATTTTCGTCGATTTTCTTTTGGTTTCTTTTGGAGATCCCCCAATTCATGTGAACAAAAACAGTGATCACTTTTCTTTCTCAAAAAACTTTACAAGGTCATAAATTTTTGTGGTAAAATTGGTAAAGCAATCATCTCTTTATGATTTTGTCTTTTGTCTCGATTTTTTTTTTGTTCATCGTTTTCCGAGGCACCACGACAAAAGGGCGTAACTTTTTCCCATCGGAACGAGCAGTGAGCATCACGGATATATTCATCTTCTCGTAGCCGCGGGTGAGAACACCAACTTCTTTGGCTTCAACCGCTTCGATGCACTTGCTCGTCGAAGCATCCAGCCAAACCGCCGTTTCCCCCAATTCATGTGAACAAAAACAGTGATCACTTTTCTTTCTCAAAAAACTTTACAAGGTCGTAATTTTTGTCGTAAAATTGGTAAAGCAATCAGCAATCATCTCTTTATGATTTTATCGCTCACTTTCTTCTTTGTTTTGTTGAAAATGAGAGGAAAAAAATGAGATTTTCGAGATTTTCTTGTTTAGGGATACTTCGACGAAATCTAGGTTTATGAAAAATGAAAGTTGTTCCATGTTTTGAGCCTAATCGGCTTGTTTTTGAGAAAATTTACGATTGGGAAAGTGGTCAAAAATGATAAATCGGTTTCTTGATGCAGGAAGTTTGTGTGAAAGGAAATTGAAAACAATCAGGAATTTTGCTTTGAAACGCTGGACTTGTACTTTGGACTCAAAAGCTAAGAACTTACAAGAGAATGATCTAAACTGGGGCTGAGGATTCAGGATAAGCTCGAACTCGAACCTAGACTTGAATCTAGACTAGAACCTAGACTCGAATCTAGACTAGAATCTAGACTGAAACCCAGCGCAAAAAGCGGCATTGGTTCTGGAGTCTAGACTAGAACCTAGACTCGAATCTAGCCTCGAACCTAGACTCGAATCTAGACTAGAATCTAGACTGGAACCCAGCGCAAAAAGCGGCATTGGTTCTGGAGTCTAGATTAGAACCTAGACTAGAACCTAGACTCGAATCTAGCCTTGAATCTAGACTCGAACCTAGCCTCGAATCTAGACTAGAATCTAGACTGGAACCCATCGAAAAAGCGGCATTGGTTCTGTAGTCCAGCACACCATCCTCTAGACGACCGCTGCTCTTTTTTCCTTCACTTGTGGCTCGCCCTTATTGGCTAAGGGCCGATTTTTCGAAAATGGTCGAAACTTCAAATGCATTTTTCTAGTCAGGATTTTAATTTGGCCAAAAACAAGAGATCAAATGCCCATTTCCGACTGTTATTTGCACTCTGAAACATCAGCCTCATTTTGGATCATTCCCTTGTTAGTTTTCTGTTAACTAAATCTTTGCATTCATTGTAATAATTTGTTTTGGGGCCAAAATAGAATAGTGTGTCAGAAAGGAAGTGTGTTCCATTGTTGAACACACTATTTCCGTTGAGAAAAAGTTGGAGAAAACAAGGTAAAAAAAGAAGGATTTGTACGATTCGAGTAGCAATAAGATGTACGCTTAGTACGAATCAATACGCAAACAAAACAGTTTTACTGTCGAAATGCTAGGTAGAGGCAATGGTAAAGGATAGTGTTTCAGACAAACTGATCAATAGACTTTAAGAAAGCATTCTTTATGCCACATTTCTGGCATGAATTTCTGGATTTCTGGATATTAGACTTCTGGATTTCTGGATTTCTGGATTTCTGGATTTCTGGATTTCTGGATATTAGACTTCTGGATTTCTGGATTTCTGGATTTCTAGATTTCTAGATTTCTGGAACACTGATTCTTTACATTTTACCCGAAAAACTTGTAAGAAAAAGTACTCCTAGGCTACTAGAGTCATTCCTAAAGTTGTACTGGTTTTAATCTTCGAAATGAACCAATGAAATCAATCTTGCAATAACCTACCGTAAATACTGTACCCCAGCCCCATAATGACGGTGCGGAGTGTTGCGTAGTCTAGCTTTGAACGAGTTTTTCTCGACACTGGTCTATGCTACAATATGTGTCTTTGGTATCAAAAGATAGCCCTGAATTTCAGCTATTTTTTCATACCAAAGACGCATATTGTAGCATAGACCAGTGTCGAGAAAAATGCGTTTAAAGCTAGACTACGCAACACTCTGCACCATCATTATCGGGGTGGGGTACTATTACAGTAACTACAGGGTATTTATGGTAACTATATTTCTAACAATCAAAACCTAGATTACTACAAAAAAATGAAAACTTTAAGCCTTTTCAAAGCCTTTCTCAAATCAATTTCTATCGCTTCTCACCCGGCAGCAACCATATTCTAGGAAAAGTTCTCCTAGGCTACTAGAGTCATTCCTAAAGTTGCACTGGTCTTAATCTTCGAAATGAACCGATGAAATCAATCAATCAATCTCAAGTCTTTCTCAAATCAATTTCTATCGCTTCTCACCCGGCAGCGACCATATTTCTCCCGACTTGGAATAGATCTGTCTGTCGAACGGGGCCATCACTTTGTTTCCGGTAGATTCCAAAGATCGTTCCTAGAAAAAAAGCAATAAATCTTCAATTCCTAAAAATTTTGGCACAATATCAACATTATTTTCAATCAAAAAAATCCCTTTTTCATAAAAACCCCTTTTTCATAAACATCCGCTCAGTTTGACCTCGTAAATCACCGTTTTTTTTCCGGTTTACTCACAATTTCATGGGGCAATTGTTAAAGAAAACGGGAAAATTGCCAAATTTTCAAAAAAAACGTTGTTTTTCTATTTTTCAAGTTTCTCAAAATAGATTTGCTGATTTTTAAGGCACAATTTTAAATCGATCATTGCCAACTCATTGCCCGATCGCTTGATCATTGCCCGATCGCTTGATCATTGCCCGATCGCCTGATCATTGCCCGATCGCTTGATCATTGCCCGATCATTGCCCGATCATTGCCCGATCATTGCCCGATCATTGCCCGATCATTGCCCGATCATTGCCCGATCATTGCCCGATCATTGCCCGATCATTGCCCGATCATTGCCCGATCATTGCCCGATCATTGCCCGATCATTGCCCGATCATTGCCCGATCATTGCCCGATCATTGCCCGATCATTGCCCGATCATTGCCCGATCATTGCCCGATCATTGCCCGATCATTGCCACTTGTTTATCACCAGATTCTTGGATTCAGATTCGAGCTAACTTCAAAAAACCAAAGAAAGATCGAGAATTTTGATTTTACAATGATTTTACAAAACTTTTAATCATTTTTCTTTCAAATCAAATCACTTTTTCTCTTTTCTTTATTTTCTAAGATCGGTTTCCCCCAAGTCCGCCCAATTTTTCTCGATCTCTTTGAGTTGATTTTCTCTCCTTTTCAACTCAAAAGGACAACCCCTTCATAAATTTACACCCGTTCAATCTTCGGCTCATCCATTCCTTATTTTTCTGATTTCATTTTAAGAAAAAAGAGGTTTCAGGTGTATAAAAGGTTACAGATTGTCCAGACAGACCATTCGATTCTTCCCTTTTTTCCTTTAATCCTTGAATTTCCTTGAATGAATCTTTGAGTTAAGCTTTCATTTGTTTCAATGAAATTGCTTGACTTCTTTCAATGCAATTGCTTGACGTTAGCTTAAAAAATTACAGCTTAAAGCTTAGAAAAATGTATAAATTCGATATACATTTCCGATAAAGTTCATAAAGATTAGGATTTTGATATTACAGATGTTACAGATTCAACGGACAGACGGACAGGTAAAATGAATCAGAAGCTGGTTCAGCTCTGATTTCTGGTGGTTCAGCTCTGGTGGGTTTTACCCAGAAAAGAGTCCTTTTCTGGGTAAAATCAAGCTAGCCTAGTACCGGCTTTTGCCCGGCCTTGGATTTGCTTTGATTATCAGCTTATCTTGCTTACTTGCTGGCTTGCTTACTTGCTTGCTTACTTGCTTACTTGTTTACTTGCTTACTTGCCTTATCGATACTATCGATACAAGTAAGCTGATGCTTGACCGTACAGATTTCAGTTTCTAGAATAGCTATCAACCTCCAAATTGTTTCATTGAAAAGCCAAGAATGTGAGCTTTTGATTGCAGATAGACAGACAGACAGACAGACATACAGACAGACATACAGACAGACAGCCAGCCAGCCAGCCAGCCAGCCAGCCAGCCAAACACTGCTCTTTTATATAGTAGATTCTTCAATAAGCAAAAGATATTCAATTTTGCTGATACCAGAATTTTAAGCAGTTTTTTGTACAATATTGTTTCATGTACAGACTTTAATATACAGTAATCCCTTTCAAGAATAGTTTATGTTCTTGTTCTTCTAGAAGAAAACGATCATGTTCATATCTTGATATTTTTCCTGACTGCCAATTGAATTTTGACTTTCTTTCTGAATCTTTAGTATATTATGACATTGTTTTCATTTCAGATAATGAAAATTCAAGTAAAAGACTATGTCTTCGGGTTGATTCCGGTCACAAAAGAGCTAGAGGTCGAGAAATGGACAACGATTGAGGAAGTGAAAAAGAAGACTTCATCATCGATTGTGCCTGATCTCAGTGATCTATTTAATTTCGGGAAATCGAATGGTTAGTGAAGAAGTAGGAAGCTTATAATTCTTATTCTAGAGCTCTCTGGTGGTGGTTTCTTCACAGGACAACCGGTGATGGCCACTTTTTGGGGAGGAAACGTTTATGGAGACAAGCGAACACTTGAGACTTGCGGGATCTGTGATGGAGATTTGATTGATCTCACGAAATATTAATTTCCTGAGCTATTCATTGTTTTTTTGTATGAAAGAGGATCATTTAATGCAATTGGGGTTCATTTAAAAGGCAAATTTGATTTGTTTTGATTTCAAAGTTTTGTAGAAATTCTTAAGAAAGTAAAGCATAGATCGAAAATCTCATTTCCATTAAAACTCAAAGTTTGATCGTCATTTTAAGCTCAAAAGTTTTATTAGAACGCTTATTTTCAATATTATAAGTTTAAATGTTGAATTTTTAATAGAGTTTTTAACTTTTAAAATCAAATTATGATAGTTTTCTGTTAGAGAAAGTAAGCTTTTTGTAAACTAACGAATTGACTAAAAAAAGTAAACTTTAAACCAAAAAAACGAAAGTTTCTTGAAGACTAGAATGTTCTAGTTCAATTGAAATAACTAATTTGAAATCTAGAATGCTTTACTATCAATAATTAAAAGCCAAAACATCAACCCAAAGCACTAAACGATCCACCGCGTCTCTCAGTCTCGCCGCACTTCCAATAATCGCTTCCCTATCCTTCAAATTGTCCATTGACCCCATTGAAATAACTAATTTGAAATCTAGAATGCTTTACTATCAATAATTAAAAGCCAAAACATCAACCCAAAGCACTAAACGATCCACCGCGTCTCTCTGTCTCGCCGCACTTCCAAAAATCGCTTCGTCGTCCTTGAAATTGTCCATTGACCCGACCGATTTCTTCATTTCCATTGATTTCTCCATTTCTTCATTTCCTATTTCATTTCCCTTCTCCATTCCATCATTTATCAACACCTGCCTTTGTTAACTTTTTCTTGTCTGACTTTGCGCAATTTTTCGCACTTCTCCATTCCTTTTTTTTGTACCCGACAACCTTGAGAGCCATGTGGATTCAATGTGGACATTCAGGTGGATAACACTCTTTTATTTTTGATTTCTTTTGAAATCTAGTCAATTTACGAGCTATATTCTTTGTGAATAAAGGGATTTAAAATAAAATGTTACAAGTGAGTTGAAAAAAAGAATGAAAATGTTGTGGCTATCATAATTTTTGTTCCAAATGTATTTTAAAAAATTAAAAGCAAGTATTTAATTGAGAAAAATACAAATAATTATGGAAACACTTTGAAATTCAAATTGCATTTACTTTATTAAGTTACCTAAAGGCGAGTTTTTCTGGATGCTTTGGGCATGGACAGCTTTTGTCGCCGTGCAGCAGTGGATAGCGCGAAAGACGGACAGACAGACGGACAGACGGACCAACCGACGGACAGACGTCTTAGTTCCTTTATATCTACTAGATTATCACCCATACGATTCGGGCTCGATCTCCCCGTGCGACTCAAATTGTGCTTTTTGATCCAAAAGCACAATTCGAGTTTCGCTTTTAATCCAAAAGCATATTGCACATCTACATTGTAATGCCCTATTCAACGGCGCAAAGATCATTGCGAACGGTCCCCTGAGGACTGAGGAGTAGTGCGCACAGACAGACGGACAAACGGACAGACAGACAAACGGACAGACATACAAACGGACAGATAGACAGACAAAGCCGACAGACAGGCAGGCAGACAAACGGACAGACAGACAGACAGACAAAGGGGCAGACAAACGGACAGACAAACGGACAGCCAGCCAGACAGACAGACGTCTTAGTCCCTTTATATATAGTAGATTTTTAAGTGGTGGGAAGAGGTAAAACGCTGTGACTTCGAAAAAGAACAGATCGAAGCGCACGCTGGAAAAAGTAATTGGGAAAAGGCTCAACTTCTGGATCGAAGTCAGCACCTGATCGAATGCCACCTTATTGATCCAGTTGGCTATGACACTAGAAAATCAACAGGATCAACTCCGCAAATATCAGACCGAGATAAAAGACGAATTTGGCGAGCGGCCCCTAACAGCACAATCACATGTCGCCGAATCAAACGGGAATTGTGATTGACAATTTCAATCGGATGGATTCGAAGACACATCCAAGTATGGATAAAGTACAAAGACGATCTTTTACAAATGAGGGTCCTGTTTTTTGAAAAGCTTCTTTGAAATCTTAAATAAGAATAGTCAAATTGACCTAGTGCATCAAATTCTACGCAAAATTCTGAGCAAAACCCAGTTTTAAAGCCAACCCAATGAACCTTTTAACTTGTGTAAAAAAAAACGTTGGAAAAATGGGAGCTCGGTGGTATAAGCCATCCCTTTGTTGGGTGGGCTAGTGACCTGGTGGCCTAGTTGATAATGTGCTCGGATTCGGAGGCCATGCTCACGGGTTCGGGGAGCCCTTCGCGCTTTTTTGCTTTTTCTTTTTTGCAAACAAGATTAGAGAGCTTTCCAGTAATTTGACTGGGTTTTACAGAACTTTTTCTCATTCAACTCACCAATCGAAACCAGACAATCAATGTTCGACGAGCCGTCCAACGGATCGAAGGTGACAATGTATTTCCCTTGTTTTGATTCATCAATCTCGATCACCTAAAAAGGCGTTAAATGTGAAGTGCAACGTTTTGAAAGTACAACAAACTGTTTAACTTGAAATTTTGGCTGCACTTGGCTGAAAAAAAATGATATCTATTTTGGGTAATTTATCTATCGATTTGTATGTCACGTTTTTGCCTCATCAGTTGCGTTTTGCGATTAGTAAAACGTAAAACTAGGGAGTGGGAAAATCGAGCTTTTTTATCAGCTTATCAAAATGTCAGCTTTTTATCAGCTTATCAAAATGGTCAGCTTTCTTGTCAGCTTGTCAAAATGGTCAGCTTTCTTGTCAGCTTATCAAAATGGTCAGCTTTTTTTAAATTCCTACCTTTTTGATCTCAATTCTGCACAACGATTAAACAAATATTAGCAAAACAACTATTTAAGAGAACGAATTGGATTGCTTTCCATCAGATTTTACTCTAGAATTGCAGAATTTCAATTGAATTTGATGAATCGATTGGATTGGATCAAGTTCTATGAAATAAAAGGGAACAAATGTTGAAATGGCTGGTGTTTTGGCAAGAATGGGAAAAGATGTAAGTTTATAATGTAAACTTACATCAAATTTAAGTTTACAAATGATAATTTTCAAAGTTTATGCAAATTTTAGCAGAGCAGTAAAGTAGCGGATGCCCAGCGCAGCTAGTAACCAAGTACAATTCAGAGTGGCTACTTTGCAGGCGCTATTACTTTCTCCCAAACAAATCTTTATGATATTTAATGTCATTTTGTTGCACTTGTTGAGATCTACAAAATGACATAAAAAACATAAAGATTAGAAGAAATTAGAAAAGGGAAATCTTAGAAGAAAGTTATGGAAAGTTTTGGGAAGATTTGGCAAGATTTGGCAAGTTTTGACAAGGTTTTTTTTAAGAAATCTAGCTCAAAGTAGGCCTTTCAAATCGTTTAGAAGAAAAAGCAAACAAAACAAACAAACTACCGACATTTTCATTCTCTTCAGAGATCAAAGCACAAGCCGCATACGACGATTTCAGCATATTGATCATCAACTCGTTCGACAAAACGTCAAGCTTTTTCACCTGTAAAAAAGAAAACATTAACAACAACTTTGTATCAAAAAATTACTTAAACAATGAACTTTCTTTTCATGAATTCTCACCTCTTCACCTTGAACATTTGTTTCACCGGCAATTCCATAGAGTTGAGCGAGACCAGCTTTTCGAACAGCTGATGAAATTGCCTACAAAAATTGGTCGGTCAAAAGTCGACAAAATAGATTTCTATAGTGAAAAGAAGGAAATAAAGTCTTTCTTTTGTGATTTTGATTTTCAAATGAAGCTCTATTTGAAGAGTTTATGGAAAAAACAAACCTTAAAAGCTGTCAGTAAAGAAGTCAAAATATTGGTGAGATCTCCAGTTGCTGATGGAAACTGAAAGTTGCTTTTCTTTGTTGTTTTTTGGGTAAAAGGTGTAACTGAAAGTGAAGCTTTTTAAAGCACAAAGTGAATTCTGCAATTCTTCATCAGTTTTTCACCTTTCTCTGTTCATTCAGCACAAATCTCTGCAATGTCATCGCATCGGTTTCCATCCCGTACATCGATGTGCGACGAGTGGCCATTTTTGTGCTTTTGTGTTTTTGTGTTAACGATTCTTAACTAGACCAAATTTGTGAACAAAAGTGCAATTAATAAGGCATAACAAAGAGCTTTGAGCATTGATTTGCTAATGTATTGGATTGGTGAATTGAAAACTGCGGCCTATTGTCATCTGTGACAGTTTGAGCACTTTCCTCAAAGGAAACACATTTTGGTGTCAATGAAAAAGTTGTAGAGAATCAAAAATCAAGCTTATATCCTAATTTTCAGAACGATTCAAAAGCTGGTTTCAAATTCAAAAGGTTTTCAAGAAATCCCAAATTTATACAAAAGAAATGCCAAATTTTCACAAAACTTGCATTTTAAGCGAAACTACTAAGTGTATCCTTTTGGAAATTTGGCTATAAGCCTAATTTTTGATTCTCTACAACTTTTCTATTGACACCAAAATGGGTTTCTTTTGAAGAAAGTGCTCAAACTGGGCTGACAGCTGACATCTCCAGTCCTCGATTTTTGAGTCTCACACTTGTCTCACACACAAACCAAAGTCCTACTACGAAAGAGGAATCCGGAAATTGCCTGTAAAATGGACAGAAGTCGTCAATACTAATGGAAATTATTTGGAATGAATTTACGGTTTTATGTTGAATAAATTTTAGTTCAAAGTCCCGCAGTTTTCAATTCACCAACCCAATAGGATGACATAACGGATAACAAAGCGATAAACGGATATTTGAAAAGGATAAAAAACTAAAAAGTAAACTAAAATTAGGCCAAGAGGAATTCCTTTATCTTCCAGAATGTTTTAACCTTTTAGCTTAGCCAATTCTTGAAACACTTCTGGGTATATAACTGGTAGATTTTTACTAGTTATTTTTGACTTTTAGGCTTTTGACAAACAAAAGATGAGATCAAAGAGGTAGAAAAAACAAAACAAGGCTCAATTAAAAGCAAAAGAGAATAACTTTTAATATGTATTGATAGCTAACTTTGATATTTATCGTTCTAACTCTCAACCGTGATGCAAAAGAATTGTAACATCAAAAAGGTTGTACAAAAAATGTAACATCCACCGCTGTATAATTATCAAAAATTTGAATAAAATATATTATAATGATGTTTGCTTAACAATGTGTAAATGCTTTAATGAAGATTATTCAAAACTTTATTCGTTAAAAATTCATAACCCTATCAATAGCCGTTTTAAAGAAAAGCGTGAACTGAGAATGCGCTAAAAAAACAAAAGAAAAGTCTTTGGCTTGTAACTTTGTAACCTTGTAAAAAGTTAGATGAAAGTTAGATGCAAGTAAACAACACAAACACACACCGGGGATATACACTGGATGAGCACACAGAGAAATGGAAAAGAGTTTGGGGCAAAGTTGGGAACAGAATGGGCAGATGGGCAGAGAATTGGGTGAAGAAACGAGGCTGACGACCCGGACTGGGCAAAAGACCCAAAAAGAAAAAACAAAGAGACTTGTGAAGCCTGTGTAATGGGGTGATCGCAAAGGTTTGAACGGAGCAATGAACAAACGGAGCAACGTCTGGGCAATCGAAACGAAGTAAAGAGAAGCTGGGGGATATATGCAAAATATCGTATTGTTAGCAGATTACAATATAGTGGATTACAGAGATGCTCCAGCTATTGTAGCTCGGTCTAGTCACTGATAGCCCCAGCTACTGAACCTAACTTGCCGTGGCAATGGTTTACAGAGATGCTCTGGCTACTGTAGCTCGGTCTAGTCACTGATAGCCCCAGCTACTGAACCTAACTTGCCGTGGCAATGGTTTACAGAGATGCTCTGGCTACTGTAGCTCGGTCTAGTCACTGATAGCCCCAGCTACTGAACCTAACTTGCCGTGGCAATGGTTTACGATAGTCCAGCGCTGTTTTCTAGCAAAACAGTAAGCAAAATAGAATGCCAGCGCTGTTTTTTAACAAAACTTTCTATAAAAGAAGTGAATGTTAAAGAAAATCTATGATAATCTAACTTGTGAATAAAAAAAGCAAAAATTGGTTGGGAGGGGATTCGAACCCAAGACAAAAGACCAGTCTAGCTCCCTTGACCATCATCTTATCCACTATACCACGACTGCTGTCGACGGAGAGCTCAAAAACTCGACTAAAGAATTAACACCGTTGTTTTGGTGAACAATTCTCAACATTCAGATTCTACTCAACAATTCAGACAAAAACTTTCGAAATCTTGCTTTTTGCGAGCTATTCTGCAGGTTTTGATTACAAATTCAGAATCCCGATTCGATTTCCTATTGAATGAGCTAGATCTCGTTTTAAAACCTACCGTAAATGCTGTAATTGGATCCCACCTCTCTAATAATACCCCACCCTAGAAGGGGAGGGAAAAAATAGTACCCCATGGGGTCCAATTACAGTATTTACCGTAATACCCTTCCCCAATGAGTAACCGTTTACGTAGCTCGTTTACGTAGCTCGTTTACGTAGCTCGTTTACGTAGCTCGTTTACGTAGCTCGTTTACGGTAGCCCCAATGAGTAACCGTTTACGGTAGCCCGCTCAATTTTTAACCTACTCGAGTCGGGTTTAAAAAAAACAGCACAGATCTTAGCTTTGAAAAATTGAGGAATTGGAGCTGACTATGAGCTAAGAATAGATAAAACTCTTTAAAAATAAGATTATTTTGGTGAACAATTGTCTACTCAACAATTCAGAAAAGTTAAAACAACTACTGAAATCTCTTTGAACATTCTTTTTCTAAGAGAATCGTTTTCAACACTTGACTACACCTTAAAAGAATCATTTTAAGAATATGTACAAGCAGATGTAAGAAAATATTATGCTTATTGAAAGGGATTAATCATCGTCATCATCGTCGTCGTCATCATCCGATTTCTTCCACATATCATTCCTGTCCATATACCAAGCTCCATATTTAGCGATCAGAGCTCCAACAAAGAGTGAAACGAAACTTGTTGTGGTGACCTGGAAGGTTAAACGATTTAATACAATTTTTGCTTACAAGATTTGATAAAGAGCCGTTTTTTGTTAACTGTTTTCGTTTTCCGAAACCTGTTTACCAAATAGATTGGCTTTCTGTCTAATGGAGAAAGCTGTAGGTCAATCGATGAATCTATTTCTGTTAACTGTTTTCGTTTTCCGAAACCTGTTTACCAAATAGATTGGCTTTCTGTCTAATGGAGAAAGCTGTAGGTCAATCGATGAATCTATTTCTGTTAACTGTTTTCGTTTTCCGAAACCTGTTTACAATCCTTCATCAACTTTTTCAGATCCAAGTTCTGATACCAAAACGGTTCTCTTGCCAAGCAGTCCTATTCCTACAATACAAATTACTATTCAAAAATAAATACCGTAATACCTCTATCGTAGCGCCTATAATGACGGTCGGAGCATCGCGTAGTCTAACTTTAAACGCATTTTTCTCGCCACCCGTTTATGCTACAGTGTGCTTTTAAGTATCAAATGAAAGCTGAAATTCAGGGCTATTTTTTGATACCAAAAATGTATTTTTGGAGATTATGGGCTCTTAGAAAATAATGATTTAGTAAAAAATTTTTGCGACTATGCGGCTATACGGGGGAAGGGGGCTACTATTAGAGGTATTACGGTAATTACTATTCAGAAAAGTAGCGAATAGCTGAGATTTTCTTAAATTTATAACTTATTCATTTATAAGTGTTTCTTCGATAGTAGTCATTACTAAAGTAATTCTTTAAGATCAGAAGAAGCCGCTTCCCAGTGGTTCTCAAGTTTTGGAGATTTGAAGTTATATAGAATTGCTAATTTTGAGCCACTGAGTAAATTATTGAAATAAAGTGTTGAAAATAAGCAGTAAATTCTATCAAAAATGGAGGAATGGCTAAAATCTTTATGGAGGAATGGTTAAAACTCTAGGAGGAGCTACGCATAAGAGAAAAAGTGGCCTCAATTCTTAAACTTATAGTTTAGATCTGTTAGTCTATCGTAAATTTGGTCAGGATTGTTATAAAGATAACTTCTCCGGGTTTAGTCAAGTAAAACTAGAGGGGAGATTTTGGTACTATTGTGCAATATTACAATTTTTTTTTCCAAACGTCTTTTAAAAATAATGGCGCCACCAACAAGATTTCTATTTAAACTATTAAAAAGGTTAATTATTTCTCTGCAAAATGATGGCTTTTGGCTTTTAAGAAATTCTTGAAAGTAGTTGTTTTTGTGGATTTTTAAAGGCGTAAAGATGAGCACTCAAAACTGCTTCAATTTGGACACTTTCTTCAATACAAAACCTATTTTGGTGTTAAAGTAAAAAGATAGAGCTTATCTACTATATAAGAGACGTCTGTCTGTCTGTCTGTCTGTCGATCTGTCTGTCTGTCGATCTGTCGATCTGTCTGTCTGTCTGTCTGTCTGTCTGTCTGTCTGTCTGTCTGTCTGTCGATCTGTCTGTCTGTCTGTCTGTCTGTCTGTCTGTCTGTCTGTCTGTCTGTCTGTCTGTCTGTCTGTCTATCTGTCCATCTGTCTGTCCATCTGTCTGTCCATCTGTCTGTCCGTCTGTCTGTCCATTTGTCTGTCCATCTGTCTGTCCGTCTGTGAGCAAACGCGACGCTTAGTAATTGCATTTGCTCTATCGGTTAAAAGGCAAAGTATTCAGCTTTTGCGCGCGACATTTTGCTCCCAGGAGTTTTCGGCTATGGGGAATCTGACTTTTAGGTCCATTTTTAAAAAGGGGGCGTGGTTTAACATGGGTTACGGTAGTTTTAGTCATTTGACTGTGTTCTCCGCCTCCTCAGCGGAAAACGCGAAGGAAATGAGCGTCTTCCCCCGCCACCTGATAACCCCCCCCCCCTCCGATAAAGAGAAAAATCCCACCAACGTAATAGTATTCATGCTGTCATAACTTAAAGCTGAGTTCAGCCTGAAAATGGGCAAAGGATTTCTGAACTCATGGCTGGCTGGCTGGCTAACTGGCCTAATCTGGCTGACTTTACTTCTGACCTTTGACCGTGGCTGGAAATGTTCCTAGGCGATCTTAACATTTAGCAGCTTCGATTTAGAATTACAATTTTAGATTAGACATGGTTTTTAGTCTATAAACAACTATAATACTTTAAAGTTGAGAGAAAAAACTAAACGAACCTTGAAGAAAAGCATTGGATTGCTGGGTGGACAGTCGCCAACGCTTCTTATTGGGATCCTCGCCAGCGGCTTAATAGGCTTATTTGTGAAGTGATAAGTGGAGAGTTGTTTACACAAAAGCAAAAAAGGTTCTCAAATAAAGATAACAATTTGAATTGAGAATTTTCTTGATAAGCATTTCATTTCACAAATTTTCAAATTTTCACCTGTTCTTTCACCGCCATCGCCTCTCCAACGGCTCTCATCATCGAACTGGCCACTGTTTGGGCTTGTTTCAGACTCATTTCTGAAGGAAATCTTCAATTTTAGTTTAATAAATCAATTTCAAATATTTAAAACATTAAAAAACGATTGTTTTTGTTTTTTCGTTGTCGAAATAATCAAAATCTGATGATTTTATGGACAAAACATTTGATGATTCAAAGTTTAAACGAAAAAATTGCCAGATCTAGTTTAGCTTTGCAAGGAAATTCTATTGAAAATAAACTTTAGAGCTTTTAAATCTAACACCGAAAGATTTGTGCTAAAAATTTTAGTATTTGAGCCTTTTGAGCAATCAAAAATTGACAAGTTTTAGTTCGATTTTGTTTTTAAAATTGAAAAATGAAAAACAATCTAAATTTAAATAATCTAAAAGCGTTGTTTCAATCTTTTCCTTAAGATTTTTAGAGAAAAGGGATCTTTTAGGGAAATCTAATGAACAGCTTTGACTTTTGAAACTTTGAAAATCTATTGGGTTGGTGAATTGAAAAATGCGGGCTATTGTCATCTGTGACAGTTTGAGCACTTTCTTCAAAAGAAACCCATTTTGGTGTCAATAGAAAAGTTGTAGAGAATCAAAAATCAAGCTTATATCCAAATTTTCAGAACGATTCAACAACTGATTTTCAAGAAATGCGAAATTTACGAATTTTCAATTTACAAATTACGAAAACTTGCATTTTAAGCGAAACTACTAAGTGTATCCTTTTGGAAATTTGGCTATAAGCCTAATTTTTGATTCTCTACAACTTTTCTATTGACACCAAAATGGGTTTCTTTTGAAGAAAGTGCTCAAACTGGGCTGACAGCTGACATCTCCAGTCCTCAGTTTTCAATTCACTAACCCAATAAACTAAAAGCATTGTTTCAATCTTTTCCTTCAGATTTTTAGGGAAAAGGGATCTTTTAGGTAAACCAAATGAACAGCTTTGACTTTTGAAACTTTGAAAATCTCTTTAAAAACTAAAACTGACGTGAATCCGCAAATGAATGTAGCCGACTTTCAAAGAATTTTCTAGAACACATAAAAGCCATACAATCGATTGTTTCTCTAATCAAAAAGCTCTATCATTGCTCTACCAAATGGCTATTGATAGATTCCAAAAAGCTTTTGTTTTGTGGATTTTATGAGGATCTAAACAAAACCAATCAAAATAACAAATCCGATTCGTCGTTTGACTCGACGTAGACTTAAATTGATGGCATAAACTGGCATAAACTGGCATAAACTAGCATAAACTTGACATAAACTTGACATAAACTGGTATAAACTTGATATAAATTTAACTTAATGTTAAAACAAAAATGTTAGAGCACATTTCATTACATAATTAACCAAACTTTTGTCCTGATCTCGTCATTTTCTAAATGAAGAAAATGAGATTCTCTGAAAAAATGATTTTTTATTGGATTAGGGCCCTTCTGACTTCTATTTCAAAGCTGTTTTTATAGAGAAATAAGTAAGCTTTCTAATGATACTATTAACCTATCATTTGATAAAAACTACTCCATTTTATACTCGATTCAGTGTCGACGGAAAGTCGGCGCTATTTCAAACTCTCTAATCCAATCGTTAAAGTTAATAAAATATTTCTAGAATCTATTCTTTAAATAAGAACTTTATTACTTGTCCTTAAGCTTTGGCCGTTAGAAATTTTAGGTTTTTTAAGATTAAAAAGTTACAAATATTAAACAATGACGAAGTATAAGGAGCCCTGGAAGGAGAAGAGAGTGCATGCTTTCCTTTTTCCATTTTTCTCTCAGAGAGTCGATCGATGAGAACATTTTGGGCGAAAAAGATTGGGTGAGAGATCGCCCAATGCCAAGAGGGAGCAAAGGGGATTGGAGAGTTGAAAGAGAAGGGGAAAACCCCACTCTATCCCTCTCTTCTCTTTCAATGAGTGTATCCCACAAAGAACAGGCATTCACTTTTTTTTACGACACTTTTCAAGGGTTTTATTTGGCTGTAAATGATAATTTATACACACGTGGTTCGCTATTTTAGACTAAAAAGTGTTTGATGTTTGCTCAAGAACGAGTCTGTAACTTGGATTGGATTCTGTTCTGAATCGACTTGATCTGGTCTAAAGATCACTGTTTTCATCTTTACTTGAATCTGCAAAAACTAGTACCATATTTCTTCAGATAGATGCTCATCTCGGATAGACGCTGACCTCGGATAGACGCTCACCTTGGATAGATGCCCACCTCGGATAGATGCCCACCTCGAATAAAAGCCCCGCGTTTGAGGTTTTCGAAAAAACAAACGCCGCAGGATCGTGTTCAGCCCAAGATACGCAGGATCGTGTCCCACCGAAGATACGCAGGATCGTGTCCCCCCCAAGATACGCAGGATCGTGTTCAGACCAAACTTCCTGGAGTGATTTTTTCGGTAAATCAATGCTTGAATGTGATTTTAAGCAGACCTTTGCTTCGAGGACACTCCAGACTGAGTAATCCATCGGATTTAAATCAGGGCTTGATGGTGGCCACTGCTTAAAGCTGATGAAATCCGGAAAGTTTCGTTCACACCAGTTTTCGATAATTCGGGCTTCGGCCCATCCATCCTGAAAGCATCAAATTCTGTTTCTGAAGTGGTTTTGTGCCTAAAAAGTAGCAAAGATAGTCAATCAAAAACAGCAAAGGCAAACGGAGATTGGTTTGGGTAATTTTGGGGCACCCTGTACAGGGTCCGAGAAAAGTATTGTCATTTTTCCAACCATCAGATCTCTTTTCAAATTTGAGCTTTTAACATATTTATTGAAAAAAATAACAGATAAATAACCAAAAATTCAAATTTATAACAAGTGTTCGAAATTGGACTCCTTGGTTTTGATACAAGATTTCAGACGCGTGATCACTGAGCCGACGGTGGCACGGAGGTAGTTGGCATCAATATCCTTCCAGGCAGCGATCAATTCCCTCTCGAACTCACCAAGATTTGCGATTTTCTTATGCCTCAAACGTTCCTCTAAGAAGTCCCATACTGAAAAATCCAAAGGGTTGAGGTCCGGCGAGTTGCTGGGTCAGTTTTCTTTCGTGAAATGAGAGGGCAATTCGCGCCGAATCAGGTCCATTGTGGTTTTCACTCCATTGGCCGGGGCCCAGTCCTGCTGGAAGGTCATGTTAGAGTTTTTTCGACTCCAGGGGATCACAGCATTCTTGAGAATCTGATCTTATTAAACCTGGGCATTGATTTTGACACTCTTCTCGATGAAAACATGCTGAGTCTCCGAATTCGCAGTCACTCCTCCCCAAACCATCAATCCTTTCGGAAAAAGACCCCGTGTCCGGATTTTCCGCTTCAAAGTGTTCTTCTGGGCCGGTGACATCAGTTGACGATGGTTTTGGGAATTGTGGACCACTTCGATGGTAAAAATTTTCTCATCTGACCACAAGACGTCCTCGATGCGTGCCGTCTTAAAAAAACAAAGAAGCCGCTTAGCTTTTTGAACTCGATTGAATTTCGCATCATCGGTAAGAAACTGGCCTTGTCGCAGACGATAACTACGAAGTCCCAGCTCCTTTTTCACAATGTTCCGAACCGACCAATCCGAGATTTTCAGCTCCGTGGCCATTTTTCCTAAGCTTCGCTCGTCGTTTCGGTCAATTCGCAGTTTGATGAGCTGCCGGATGCTTGGCGTGTTCACCGATCGAGGTCTTCCTTTTTTCGCTTCTCCTTGACGTGGCCTTTCTCTTGCAATTGTTTGGCAAGTCGTTGAACAGTCCTGATGTTGGTTTTGAGCTTTCGCGAGATGGCCGCCTTCGACCCTCCGGCTTTCAAAAGTATAGCGGTCGCTTCTCGATGAGGGCAAGCTTGCATTTCTAAAAATACACATTGAACCATTCTAAAGAGGAAAAAAAACTGAACAAAATTCATGTTCTACACAACGTAAAAGGATACTTTAAATTGCATAAAAGTTAGCTCAAAGAGACGCGACAATACTTTTCTCGGACCCCGTAGAGATTTTGTGTTCAGTGGCTATTCAAAAATTTTGATGACTAAATAATTTGGAATTTTTTTTAGTGCAATACGAAAAAGACGCTATTCATGAGTCAATTCAGTTATTAGAATAAATCTCATTCATTTTGAGTGACGAAAGAGTGATGAGGGATCTGAGAGCTCTTTCTTATCTACCCATCCACGTCCTAACAGAAAAGCTACAACAGAAGCCGTTTTTTTGCGTAACGAACAATTTTGTTTGTATATATTCAGTCATTTTTTGTTGAAGCATCATTTCATTCATCATTTCACCATTTCATTCCGAATCTTTTCTTCTTTTTTACTCCAAGCAAGTCTCCTTATGTGCTCATTTCGATTTTAATAAAACTAAAACAATTACTTCAACAGAAACCATTGTTTATTTTGTTTTTTTTCTTCTTTACCATTTTTAATATTTTATTTATTTTGTTAATTTGTGAAGGGAAGATAACCAAAAATACAATTTCAGATGGATATCGCTGCCTTAGCAAAAACTATCGCCATTAAAATTTGGAGAGTCGAACAGGAAGTCAGGGAGAGAATTCAAAAGAATTTCAAACGACGAACAATTGGCGATGTGAAAACTTTGCAAATAATGTTGGGTTAGTTTAAAATTTCCAATTTCCACAAGGGGATGGCCAGAAGTGAGCGTGAGATTTCGGGACGCAAATGAGGCGCAAACACAAGTCGAGTACGGCAAATACGATAGCGCTTTTAGTTTTGGGGAAAGGGGGGAAAGGTTTTCGAGAAATACGCTTTGCAAACATATGCATCTACCGGAAAAATAGTTTCTAGGTTTCTAGCAGCGCGAGAAAAAAAAAACAGAAAAAAGTTTAAAACAACAACGCAAAAAAAAAATCGGCACTCAAGGATCGAACCTGTGAGGCTAAAAAGCTAATGTTTGTTTCATAGCTCAACCCATTATCCACTACACCATCTCTCATTGATTTAGAACAAGGGAGAAGCCTCTTTTAACTTCTATGCTCCGTTTTACGAGTAGATGCCTGGAGATGCCTGCCTGTAGATGCCTGTTCCCAATCTAATCACCCCTTTGAGATCCCAACAAACCGACAACATGTAGAATAAAGCGGAGAACTAACCTTTCGCCTTCACTGCGAAACTTGAAGTAATGCAGCAATGCTGCTGCTATGAGTCCAAGAATAAGAACAACAGGAATGAGTAGAAGCAAAAGCCAGAGCTTAAACTTATAACCAAAGACTTTATAGAAATAACCTTCAATTTATAACAATTTTGAGCTATCTGAAGATTAAACTTTCTATTTTTCAGTGAAGATCAAGACAAAATTTAGCAAGATGCTCTCGATCTTCAAATGAACAACTGAAAAGGGATATTGCGAAACGTAAAATCAAAGAACGTTTAAAAAGACTCGTTAAAATGATTACGAGCAAACATAAGCACGATTGGGTTAAGTACAGTGGAAAGATTGGAGCCAAAGAACATTCGTTCTTCGATTGTATCAAAAATGAAGTACAATGGAACAACGCCACCGAAAAAGCAAAGCTTCTCAGTGCGAGTCTTTTCCGTGCTTTGATTCCCATTCAAAACAAGAAAAAGATTGCGCTTGGTGATAAACTTTTGATCAAATGGATGTTGCCCGAGATGCCTGATAAGGTGAAGCAAAAAATCGACGAATTCACGATCAATGAGCCGACTCTGAAAGGCTATTTTGATGAACTTTCCGTAGTAAAAAAAGCTACATTTCTGTTAAAGTCATCAGCTTTAAAGATCGCACTTTTCTATTGGTGCTCGTCGATTTGCAAAGGAAAAGCCGTTTACGAGACTTGTGCTCATGCATCGGACATTGAGAAGAAATTGGCGTGGCTGGTTGAGGAAATCGAGGCCCTTTACGATCAGACTCTGGCGTTGATGCTGGCAAATCAGCTTCCCATAGATCCCAGGCCGAAGAAGAAGTCGAGAATAACTTTTCGTTTTCGAAGATCAAGATTCGGACGCTTCATGATCAAATGGAAACATTGACAAACGACAGACAAAGCAAGAGTTTAATTACTTCAACTTTATAGATCATTTTCGATTCCAAATACAAATATTTTGATCGTCTTCCAACTCTGAATCTGTGATTAAAATCTGTCTCTAAAGCTGTGACTCAACGATGATTCTCTTAACAAGTCCTTCTTATCGGTTTTGATTTGTGTAAATAAAGTATTAGTATCCAAATGATTGTCAGCATTTGGATTCCTCGGTTTGCAAAATTGCGGCGAAGTGATTGCATTTGGTTTTCGTTCTCGTTCATCCAGTTCATCCAGTTCATCCAGTTCTCGTACCAAACAATTCATTTGAATCAAAAAAAAGAAGTTGTTTCCTCAAACATTCATCTGTCAACAAACGTTGAAACAAAACTTTGCAAAAAATTGTAAAGATTTATGCACTAACCTAATTTGTTATACGAAAACACAGATTAACAAGAGAGTCAAATTTTTTTTGACTGAAAAGCGACTAGCTTTGCCTTTTAACTGCGGGTCTTTCTTGCACAAAAAGTGACATTCTTCTTCTTCCTTTTGTTACTTTAAAAAAAAGCTACTTTATTTCTTAAACATTCGCTTTTCTTTTTGAAATTCCAAAAAGTCCCTTTTTGGATTCATTTTCTGTGTTTTCTTAGTGCAAAACCTCCAAAATTTCGTCTAATCTATCTATTTTTGAAAAAAGTTTATCAAAAAAGCTCTCATTGACGTCAATGAAATAAAAAAAGGCCTAAAATACTTTTTTTTTAAACGTAAACCTAAAGAAGTTTTTAAGACAGATCCCTAGCCCTACCAAAGACTGTACCCAGTTTTTCTTTGCTGAATAGTAGTGCGCACTACTATTTTTTCAAGCCCCCTCCAGCCTGCACTACTATTACAGAAAATACGGTATATGGTGATTATATCGACCCGAGTTCGACTCCCGCCTGCCACAAAACCACTTCGGAAACAGAATTTGGTGCTTTCAACAGGATGGGCCGAAGCCAGAATTATCGAAAACTGGTGTGAACGAAACTTCCCGGATTCCATCAGCTTTAAGCAGTGGCCACCATCAAGCCCCGATTTAAATCCGATGGATGACTCAGTCTGGAGTGTCCTCGAAGCAAAGGTCTGCTTAAAATCACATTCAAGCATTGAAAAAATCACTTCAGAAAGCTGAACACAATCCTGCGTATCTTTAGGTCACCATCAACTTCCCCAAAACGTCTGGCCGCTTATGCAGCCTCTCATGGAGACACTTTCGAGAAGAAATAAACCAAATTGTTGAAAGCAATCTAGAGAATACATTTGTTAATGTTAGTTTTTGTTTTTTGATGAACTTTTAAAGACTTTTAAAACGTGGTTCGGGTAATTTTGGGGCAGCATGGAGATTCTGAAAAATGTGATAGGTAATTGGGATGAAGGCTGCAATTTAATCTCATGACATTAAGACTATCGACTTAAGGTTAATTTTAAACTTAAATAGATCTATGCAGCTTACCCAAATCACCTAAAACCTTATCTCAAAAGTACAAGTACTTCCCGGAGTCGCTTAAATTTCAGCAACAAAGGTGACCACTAAAGTGACGACTAAAGGGACAACAACAACAAAAAGACAAAAACACCAACTAAAACCATCAAGACAAAAAAAACCACAACACCAACTACTACTACAACCTACGTATCTTTAGGTCACCATCAACTTCCCCCAAAACGTTTCGCCCCTTATGCAGCCGCTCATGGAGATATTTTCGACAAGAAATAAATCAAATTGTTGAAAGCAATCTAGAGAATACATTTGTTAATGTTAATTTTTGTTTTTTCGATGAAAAGACTTTTAAACCATGAGTTTTATTGGTAATTTATTAGTTTTATTGGTACCACCCTTAATGCTCCTTAGCAAACTTCACTCGGGCTTTCCGAAAAGTACTTAAAATTTAGCTGGTTATCTTATTTTTTTTTAGGTAAAAATGAGTCCAATTTTAGTATCAATGGTACCGGGAAGAAAACGAAGCCGTGAACAGCTTGTTCAGAAAACGAAGCCGTGAACAGCGTGAACAGCTTGTTCTATTTTCGAGCGAGCAACTCAACGGCTACTTTACCGGATTGTGAACATCCGACAGCAACTCTAACATCAAGTACAATCGTTTGAAGAAAAGCTTTGCAACGATTACTCCAATGAAGACTGAAAAACAAGGAAATCTTGCCAATTTTTGGGATAGGCTACTTTGCGCCAATTTTTTTGCGCAACTGGGTCATTTGCGCAACTAGGTCCTCGCAACTCGCCATAACATTCTTCCAAGTCGGCCAATCTTTATGATGTTGGTTTCATTCTGTTGGACTTATTGAGATCTACAGATTGAAACCAAAATCATAAAGATTGGCTTACTTAGAAGAAAGTTATCGTGAGTTGCGCAAATGACCCTGTTGCGCAAATAAAATGGAAATTAGCCTACCCCGATGAGTTTCATCGTTCAATTAACTGACTGAATTTTAACTTTGTGACTTTTTTCAAAGCATTTTAACCTTTAACTTTATTTCACGAAGCTGAACATATAGGCTAATTTCCATTTTATTTGCGCAACTGAGTCGTTTGCGCAACTCGCCATAACATTCTTCCACGTCGGCCAATCTTTATGATTTTGCTGTCATTCTGTTGCGCTTATTGAGATCTACAGATTGAAACCAAAATCATAAAGATTGGCTTACTTAGAAGAAAGTTATGACGAGTTGCGCAAACGGCCCAGTTGCGCAAATAGCTGAAATTAGCCTACCCCCAATTTTTCATTTAATTTCTACGCTTTTATCATTTTTCTTTTTAATCGAATGTTTTTCTATTAAAAATTGGATCCTTTGTTCTTTATTGTTTTTTTATTGGATCTTTTGTTCATTGAGAAAAATTAGATCATCTGATCATCTGATCATCGGACAATTTTACGAATTTTAAGTTGACATAAACTTGCCCATTTTACTCTAAAATTTCTCAACTTTTCTCTAAAAATAATTGCAATCAAATCAATTTTATTCTATATGTAGTCCATTTTTCATTTGAATATTTTGAAAATAAATTTCTCCAAAAGGAAAACTCTTGGCTGAAAAGCTAGATTACATGCTTTTTTGCACTGAATTCCTTACAAATCCTAGCTTTTCTCTCTTATCATTTTCGAAGCCGTGTTCCATTCGAATTTGAAATTGTTTGAAACATTTGAAAACTTAAAATTTAATATTATTGATTGAATTTCACGGTATTCAATGGTAAACAATAGTTTTGTGTTTATAACCGCTTTCTGGAGTCTTTGGATAGCAACAGGTTTGAGGAAAGCTCAAAAGTTTTCTTGATTTTGTAATGGTTTCTAAAAAGTGCCTACCGTAACTCGGTTTTTCTCTTCGCAAAGGAAGGGTAACAATCGAGGCTGATTTAAAGTCAAAAATCTCTTCTATAACTATCATTTTGTTTTTATTTGATGCTTTTTATACAAAGAATGAGAGAAACAAAAAAAATCTCTAATTTTAAATAATCTCAAAATATTAGGTGATTGTGCTAGATTAGTGATTGTGCTAGATTTGGAATCAAATATCTAAATAATCATTGCCCCATCGATTCCCCTCTACGGACAGATTTTATTAGGTAGATACAGGACAGATTTTATTAGGTAAATGCATAAGAAATGCGGATTTGAACATTTTCATAAATTTCTAACGATAGAAAACGATTTCCAACGAGCTGATGCGATAAACTAGAATCGATGAATGTTATAAACTATTTGAAAGTTGTAAATCTTCTCTACAAAATAGGCTAAAATGTGTTTCAATTGATCGAAGGATTGAAGAAATTTGAGAGGCGAAATGTGAATGACCAAAAAAGGGCAAAAAAAGGAATCGAGTCACTTTAGGGACAAGTTTAGGTGTCGTCAAAATAGAGTTAACTTCCCAAAATTGAAGATTTAAACAAAAATAAAGGATAACTAGATATCAATTCATTAAAAAAAGTCTAACGGAAATGCATTTACAGAAATTTAGATAGAGCGTAAGTTCAAAACCCTCAAAACCCTCAAAAAAGCCAGCTTTTTCACAAAAAAAAATTATTGTAAAAACAAAAGTAAAAGCAACGATCCTCAACAAACAGTCAATCACATTTATCATCATCATTTAAATTAGCCTCTAAGTTTGCAGCTTCTAAGTTTGCAAAACTCGAGTGAATTTGGCGCCTTTGAACTCTTGACCTTTGACTTTAGAACTGTGGAGAGTAAACACCGAAGCGAATTTATTTTATGAATAGCAAGGCAAATGGATAACGTCTGTGGAAATTGATCGCGCGCATTATTGGCCAACTTATAGTCAGATCCTTTGATCAAATTCCATTTTTTTGCCTGCTTTTCTGGGTATTCATAAATGCAAGATTTTGGCTAATCTATCGCTCATCAAGTCGATTTCATCATCATCAACAATAGAGTTGCTGTTTTGAGAATTAATTGAAGCCTTTTTGTGCTCTAAAGCTATAGCCACTATGTGTTGTTTTCCATTTTTCACTGATTGTTCCCATTTTTATGAAACTTTTTATAACATAAACATTGAGTTACGGTTTTGAGGCAAGTTCCATTGCTTGCTCAATTGATTGTTCTCGACTTTACTGCGGCCTTCTGGATTCTCCCGCAAATCTAACAATGTTGCAACAAAGCTTCCAATTGTGATCACTCAACAATGATCTTGAATCATCTTCAATAACTTCATCATCTTACATCATCTCACACTCCCATCAAATACATCTTCAATAACATCATCATCGTCCGTCATCGCTCATTCAATTACATCTTCAATAACATCATCATCGATCGTCTCATCATCTCAATTATCATCTCAATAATCATGATCCCGCACATCATCATTCATCTCTCAATACTCATCGTCGTTATCATCGTCATCATCATCATCATCATTCAAATATCATCTTCAATAACATCATCATCGTTATCATCATCGTCATCATCATCATCATCATTCAAATATCATCTTCAATAACATCATCATCGTCATCGTCATCTTCATCATCATCATTCAATTATCATCTTCAATAACATCATCATCGTCATCGTCATCTTCATCATCATTCAATTATCATCATGAATAACTTCATCATCGTTATCATCATCATCATCATCATTCAATTATCATCCTCAATAACTTCATCATCGCTCAAACTCCTCAGATAAAAAGTCCAAAAAAGAAATGATTCTAATTTTCTGCGAGGAGTGGCTTGCCAGTTGACACGTTGAAACCTGTCTGCTGCGGCAGGAGATGCTCATCAACAAAAGTTTACCGAATCTGGCAGGAAATCAATCAACCAATCTATTTCTGCCATTCTTTGTATAAAAAGCATCAAATAAAAACAAAATGATAGTTATGGCGAAAGAAATTTTTCACTTGGAATCAGCCTCGATTGTTACCCTTCCTTTAAATTCAATTTATTTAGAAGTCATCGTTTTACCGAGTCAACCAAATAAGATTTAAAAGTTTAGCTGCTGTCGGGACAACTCCATTGCCTTGTTCGATCAGGGCACTCACCGCGAAAGAGACGAATTACGATGAAAAACCAGGTATAAATTATCAATTTTTGTATTAAATGCTGAGTAAATCCCATTTCTTTCTTTCCATTTCTTTTCAGGGACACCGAAAAGAAATGTCGAAGAAATTGCGCTAATTGACATCGATCATCCGGCTTTCAGCATGCATAAAGACGATTTTATCAAACATGAGGTAGAGTTTAAGAAGGAAATCTCGACCGGCTTTGGTGGCTAAATAACATGAGCCATAAACCATAGACTATAGACCATTCGACGCAGAATTTCACGCTGATTCCGAATCTTCTTTCCGTTTCTATTATGAAGCACTCTGTCAAAAGTTATACTCGTCGAATGGTCTATGGCTCATGTCATTTGGGCATCCAGTTGACCTTCCCTTATCAGTTCTGAGTGTAAAGTTTTGTTAGGAATTTCAAGAATCAAATTACGAGTCCATAAGCAGATTCTCCAGGCGCTAGGATAGTGTTCTGCTGGCCGATTGGAAGTGCGCTTGAACGCAAGGCAGGGATCCTGGGGATTCAAGTCCGCAGCTCAACTTTTTCTTTTGCTTTTATTTGATTTGAATAGTTTAGGTGTTCCTTGTACGCATCGCATCATTTTGATCTTTCAAATACAAATTTACTTTACTTTACTTTCCACAAAAATCTTTTCTTTTAACATCAAACAATAAGAAATCAACATTGATGAGATTTATCGATAAAATGGGAGAAATATTATTTGATTTTACACCAACATAAAAGCCAAAGACGCACAATGTGCTGTCTGAGAAGTTACACGACTCTTCAAACTTAATAGACACTACTGGCAATAGGAAAACTGGCCTTGAAATTGAAAAATTGATAGACTAAGTCCTTCAGTATTGGTAAATTGGTAAATTTAGCAAAATTTGGCGATTTTAGGTTTTGAATGAGACCAATTGCCTATTCATTAACCCATTAAAAACTTGTCTGAAAGCTGGCCACTCAAAAAGTGACCAAGTCACCTCAGCTGAAGAAATCTCTTATTTTTTACCTAAAGCCCACTCTGATTTTTTTTGTCAAAAACTTTTTGAAATATAGTCAAGCTTATCAAAAAATCTGGGAAGGATTTGATGGGTTCCTTTTTGAGAAATCACCGTACAAACACCGTACAAACTTTTTCCGAGAACTTTCTTTCCAACCTAATAGATTCCGCGGCTGTAAAACTCACATGGCTTCGAGTCGAAAAACTGAGTGAGTGACAAGCGCATTTCCTCGACGTTTTGAAAGATCTTTCCACGCAAATGATGCTCCAGAGACCTGGAAAAATGATAATCGGACGATTCTGGACAAAATACCTGAACAGATGATAGTCCGATGTCACTCACTCGGCGGTATTGTGGGACCTTTCATACGCGAGGCCACGCCCCTTTTCCCATTAGCAATCTAACTTTGAGCTCAAATTTCTTCGTGTTGAGCTGTTCAATTGAAATAATTTTTATACCAATCGATAGAGAAAGATTTGGCGCATCTAATGATGTCAAGAATATTGAAATTCTACAGCCAAACACCAAGAAATTTGCGCTCAAAGTTGGATAGGGAAAAGGGGGCGGGGCCTCACGTATAAAAGCTCCCACAATTGTGCTAAAGAAAGATACATTTGAGTATTTATTTGGTGTTTTTGATGCGTAAAATAAAAAGTTAGATCTAGCGTCAAAAAACGGAAATAACTTTCCGGCCAACCTAATAAGTTGATGTCAAACTCCTTTTGGAGGAACAGGGGAAAATTGAGTACTTTCGATATTCAGTTCATATGCGTATCTCGTTATATCAGCTGTTCTGGCGCTATGAATTTGTTGAAAACAATCTTTTTTGAACAAAATTACCACAAATTTGATTGAGAAAAACTTTTCCGAATGAAATATCGACTAGCGCTCATTCAAGCGCTTGTTAAATGAGTTATATAAGTCCTACGGTAATCAAAATTAGCTACGGTATTTGCCCAATTCAGTCAATTCAAATCTCTGCCGATTGTAAGCAGTGTACAATCACATTGATCATCGGCGAAATCGTTCCGTTTGATGAAATCTCCAGCGACGACACCATCGATGCAAATCCAGTTTTTCCTTTCCTCATCGACACCAAGAATCCTACAAATATTCAATGTTATCTGGAAACGTCAGTTTTTTTGAAAACTTTTAGGAAACAATGATCAACAATTCAGGTTATTATATGATGAGGGTGAAACCACGTACACATTGACCGTCACTAATGTGCACTATCAATTCAATTTGAGTCTGACTGATGAATGGAAAGGAGATAATTCACCATATGCCAACTATACATTCGCTTTTACGGCTTATGTAGCAGAGATGATCGTTGGTGAGTTATTTAAGCAAAAAGAGCCTGTTTCTACAGGGTGCGGCAGAATTATAGGTGCATGACATAAAGACGGAAAACGAGCCTTCGCTCTTGATTTTGCACTCGAATTTATGTTTTTGTTGTTATTTTATGATTGAATTTGTATTTGTAAATTATAATTTTTTATAACTTTGAGTTTCAGGCTATGGTTCGCGCTTCCCCGCATCGACAATTGATCGTGGAACTTCATCGGAAGGGCGAATCGGCGACCGTGATCGGAAGAAAGTTGGGAGTGCATCGAAACGTTGTTAACCGAGCCATTCAACGCTACAACGAGTTGGGATCAATGTCTGATCGGCCGCGAGGAGGTGTTCGTCCATCTGTGGTGACGAAAGGCAACATCAAGAAAGTCAGGGATCGCCTGCGAAAGAAGCCCAATCAGTCCGCTCGAAGAATTGCCAAACATATGGGTGTATCCGATCGATCAATCCGTCGAATTATCAAGGACAAGCTCAAGTTCAAGCCCTACAAGAAGAACAAATCCGCTCTGCTTTCGGCAGACGCCAAATTGAAGAGAAAAGATCGATGTGAAAGGCTTCGTCTTCGTTTCAACGGAATCGACCACAGGAACATTTTGTTCACCGATGAGAAAATTTTTACGATTGGGAATTCTGAACAAGCAGAACGATCGAGTTTGGTCGAAAACTCAACCAAGTGTTACCGTCGGTCGCAGCGGCCACCCAGCTTCAGTCATGGTTTTTGGCGGTGTGACGGCTTCCGGCAAGACACCACTGATTTTTGTGCCACAAGGAGTCAAAGTTAATGCGAACACGTACTTGGATATGCTAAAGAAAGAACTTGTTCCCTGGGCTCAAAATCACTTCCAAAATCGCATCTGGACCTTCCAGCAAGATGGTGCTCCCGCTCACAAAGCCAAGATTGTTCAGGATTTCTGCAAAGCGACTTTTCCCGACTTCATTGCATTCAACGAGTGGCCCCCGAGCTCCCCAGACCTCAATCCATTGGATTTCTCGGTCTGGTCTGTTCTTGAAGCCGAGGCCTGTCAGAAACCTCACAAAAACCTCGAAAGTTTGAAGAAATCTCTCTTGAAAGCCTGGGAGGGTCTGGACGCCGCCTACTTGGTCGCCACGGTCGACGCCTTTCCCAAGCGACTCAAGTCTTGCATGTCTCAAGCGACGCCAAAGGAGGAAGATTCGAATATGATCAATAAAAGTTGTTAATTTAAGTTCAATAAATATGTTAAAACTGTTTTTGTGGCAAATTTTTCGTTTTTTGGTCATATTCCAATGGAACTTCTCTGCACCTATAATTCTGCCGCACCCTGTATAGTTAAATCGGCTCTTTTTTGTTTTTCTGAACTCCATTAAATCAACCGATCAAATGAATCGATTCTCACTCAAATCAAATGTAAAATTTGTAGAGAAATAATGATTTTACTTTGATTTTACTATTGGTTTTCCTTTGATTAAGCAAAGCAAATCAAAGCAAAGCAAACAAATTCTATTTTATATCATTCGAAAGTTTAAACTTTTCTCTTTAAAACTATATTAAAGTTAATAATAATATTATAATATCTCTAAGTAAAGTTATAGACATTTAAAACGTGATTGCTCATTCGAAAATCTCTTTTAGAGCCCAACTTTTCGATGAAAAATCAACGAAATCAATGAAAAAAACACTCAAAAACGTCTTAAGCTCTTCAAAAGTCCAAAAGTTTATCTCTTTACAACTTACAATTAGCATTTACGAGACGTTTTTTTCATTCCCCAGTTTTTGGCGAGTAATTTAAGTAATTTGAATAGTACTATGGAATTCTAACTCTTTCCTTAAAGAAAGAAATTCTAACTCTTTCCCTTTTGATCAAGTAACCATTTTTCTAGACTCACCCATCTACACAATTCCCCTGCAATCGAAACGAAAGAGAACCGACAGTGTGATTTTCAACTACAACCAGTTAAACGAGTTGGCTTACTATGTAATGGTGGCTGCAGAAGATCAGCACATTGTGGCTGAGACATTCAGACCAATGGTTGGTTATCTTTAGCAGGATCCGAACCAGGGAATCCGAACCAGGGATCCGAACCAGGGATCCGAACCAGGGATCCGAACCAGGGATCCGAACCAAGGATCTAAACCAGGGATCCCAACCAGGGATCCGAACCAGGAATCCAAACCAGGGATCCAAACCAGGGATCCGAACCAAAAAACTCCGAAGCGTTAGCACACTATCCACTAGACATGGGGATCGGCTCAGGTCAACCCGAAAACCGGGAGTGCTCGGGTCGGGCCAGGTCGAAATTCAAATTATTCGGGTAGGGTCGGGAAAACCCGATGTTGACCCGATCAGATCCGATCCGACCTGACCCAACTCGACCCGATTTCCCATGTTTGCTATCCACTAAGCCACTGAGGCACACCAATTCACCCACGCGAACGCCTTAAGTAGGCTAGCTTGCTGTTTAGCGTAATTGGTCGAAACTTTGATGTTTATATCTCAAAAATGGCGCATGATAAGTAGGATTTGAAAGCAGTTTTGGGATATCTTTAACCAGGGGGTGAAGGGAAAGAGATTGCTCCTGAAATATAACTTTAAAGGGTTCTCTGGTTAGATACATCGATCAAAACCTTTTTCCGTTGCCAGGTGCCCTTACTAGGGATCGTTGTTTATTTAGCATTGAGACCTAGTGTATTTTGTAGCAAAAGAGCAAAATTTTCACCCTAATCTGGGCTCAAACCAGGCCCAAACCAGGCCCAAACCAGGCTTGAACCAGGCTTAAGCCTAGCGCACTAACCACTTGGCCACAATGACATATTTTCTCGTTACCCAAGATCGCTTCATACTCGTTCGATCAGATAAACAACGCAATATCCAAAAGCTACTTTTACACAAACTTCAAACGGATTTAAATCGAAAATTTAAATCCATTACACAAAAACGACCTAGATATTCAGAATTAGCAAAAAATTTGCTACAAAATAAGCTAATAGACAAACACAAAAAGGCAATAACATTCGAAATTCGATGTTACAAACAACAAACGAAATAAACAACGATTCCTAACCATTGGGACAGGCTTTAGGCACACTGTAGGATTGATTTAACAAACTTTTAAGGAAAAATAAGCTTTTCAAAGTACCAAGCCTGCTTAAATATGAGCAAATTGAGCAACTTTAGGCATATAATCTGAGAGAACACAACGAGGATTGCATGGTCGATGTATTCACCGGATCAATCCCAAACATCAACGACACATCGTCGCTAATTTTTAGCAGATCAGTGTAATCATTTACTTTCGCATCGCACTATTGTATCGAATTTGTTTAGCAATCGCTTCTACGATGGTGAATCTCTTGATTGGCATTCTTCGATGATCACCTATCGTTTCTCAAAAGGACCAGCCATTTGTCAAGGACAAATCGAGCATAAAGCTTATGATTTGAATGGAAATCATTCAAATCAAATCACTGAAAAGACAGACATTTTCTGGATTGATCAAAACTTAAACTATCCAGATTTCTCTAATGAGGAAAAGCAGGGAATGAAAGTGTTTTTTGGTAAGATTTCGATATTTGTAGAGATTTGTAGAGATCGAATTTCTCTAGAAATCGTTGAAGCCATTGATCCAACTGAAATGCCTTGGATTATGATCGATATTGTTGAAATTAATCGTGGATCATTGAATCTTTTGATTGAAAGACCCAATTTTCTTTGGAACGTTTCGTAGGTTGGAAAAATCTTTTGAAACAAAGCCAATTTAGAGTCCGGGAACAGATGAACTGCCAGGCTCAGGGTGCTTTGATAAAAGTAGGTCAACTTTGACACAAATTTTCTCTATGTTCTTATACATAAGTCTACAAAACAAATTCTACTTTTCTATAGCCAAATTTAATGAAGATTCTAACAAAACCAACCATAAGTTAATTCAGCTTCTATATCTCGAGTTATAGACCATCTAAGTGGATCGACTTTTTCGGGTAGGTAGTTCAACTTTGACACAAATTTTCTCTATATTCTTATACATAAGTCTACAAAACCAAGTCTACTTTTCTACAACCAAATTTAATGACGATTCTTTTAAAAGCAATTACAAGTCGATTCAATTCCTATCTCTCGAGTTATAGACTGTCAAAGTTGATCAACTTTTCCAGGTAGGAAGGTCAACTTTAACACAACTTTTCTCTATGTTCTTACACTTGAGTATACAACATAAATTGTAGTTTTCCATAACCAAACTTAATAAGGATCATTTCAAAATCAACCTTAAGTCGATCTGATAATTGGAAGTCGAATTGTAGAGTAAAATAGAGAAGTGCGCTAAAGTTTGACTATAGAAAAATGGCACTTTAGCGCACTAATCTTCAAGTTTTTCTCTATGTTTTTATTAAAGAGTCTACAAAACAGATTCCACTTTTCTGGATATTTTTGTGTTATCTCGGGGGACTATTCTTTTCTTTGGAATGTTTTCTAGGTTGGAAATCTGAGAAAAAAATTAGCTAAGATCATTTCCGTTCATTTTCCGCTTGATTTTACTTGATTTTGTTCTCTTTTTTACTTTTAGCTTTCACTTTTTCATTTTGAGCTTCACTCTTTCATATAGTTTGCCTTCTTTTTTCAGTGTTGTTTATTTTCCTAGGCTTTGGATCCGCACATTAGAAAGTTTGCAGCAACTGGGCTAAGCCTGGCTCGCCTACGGCTGAGCTGTATCGGAACGACTTTCGTACCAGAGGTTTTAACCAGGCCCACCCAGACTCGAACCAGTCTTGAACCAGTCTTGAACCAGGCTTGAACCAGGCTTGAACCAGGCTTGAACCAGGCACCCTAGAAAGGAACCAAGCCTGGCGCCTGAGCGACCGGAACGAACTTCCTACCAGAGGTAACCAGTCTTGAACCAGCCAGGCACCCTAGAAGCGAACCCGGCTAGCCTGGCGCCTCGGCTGGTGTACGGACGACTTTCGTACCAGAGGTTTTAACCAGGCCCACCCACCGAACCAGTCTTGAACCAGGCTTGAACCAGGCTTGAACCAGGCTTGAACCAGGCACCCTAGAAAGCGAACCCGGCTGGTTCGCTTACGACTGAGCTGTACCGGAACGAACTTTCCTACCAGAGGTTTTAACCAGTCTTGAACCAGTCTTGAACCAGGCACCTTAGAAAGCTTGCAGCACCTGGCTAAGCCTGATTCGCTTACAGTTGAGCTGGTACCGGAACGACGTTCGTAACCAGAGGTCTTGTATTTCCTTGTAGTGTTTGGCTCTTTGGTAACCATTACACCAACGATATTGATCCGATCCTCGAGACCGGAGCGACATTAGACCACCTTTCGAAGAATCAAATAAATGCATCAAATAAACCCATCAAATGAATCCATCAATCAATCCCAAGACTAATGGATTTAGCGAAAGAGAAATCAAATGATCTATGAGCTCAAATCTTGGAAAATAATCAAATTTATGCTTAGTAAACAGTAAATGGTTAAAATTTACCCTTTTTAGCTCTTAAAACCGTTTGAAAACGAGATTGAAAAGCATCAAAACGCTGATATTAGTCAATTTTTCAACAAACCTACTTGACAAAAACTACTTGTACTTCTTTTTCAGTACGTTTGGACACCAGATAACGATACAAATATTGACAGTCGTTTCTCAGTGTATTTCCAAGCAGGCGATGCTGTCTTCAATCTCACCAATTGTTTCATCGTTCCCAATGATGTTGATGAAGTAAAGAAGAAGAGAGAATTCCCGAAATGGTTGATCATTGTTCTCCCAATTCTTGGTGTTCTCACCATTTTCACTCTCTATTGCTGTTATCGTCAATGGAAAAACAAACAAACAATCAAGTTTGATAGGGGGAAATTACTGAGTGAAAGATTTTAGGAGAAAATCCGAGAACAGAAAGAAGAAGCTCAACTCGTTGCAGAAGTATATTCAGAGGAATTTGAAAGTAAAAGATTTTTTCAGAAAGGGTAAAAATCGTTTATTGTTGCATCTAAAAAGATGAAACTTCAATTTTCCAGGCGAAAGAAATCGTTGAACCGATTGATCCATGGGAAATCTCGATGCCATTGCTGGAGATCGGGGAAAAGATTGGCATCGGAAAATCAGCAAATGTGTATAAAGGAATGCTGAAAGGACAAGTCCCATGTACTCTGGTTGATTCAAAGTTGAAGGTGAGTTTTGTAGAATTCGTAGAATTTTGTTTTGTATTGGATTGGTGAATTGAAAACTGCGGGCTCTTGTCATATGTGACAGTTCTCATACTTTCTTCAAAAGAAACCCATTTTGGTGTCAATAGAAAAGTTGTAGAGAATCAAAAATCAAGCTTATATCCAAATTTTCAGAACGATTCAACAACTCGTTTTTAAGAAATGCCAAATTTACACAAAAGAAATGCCGAATTTTCACAAAGCTTGCATTTTAAGCGAAACTACTAAGTGTATCTTTTTGGAAATTTGGCTATAAGCCTAATTTTTGATTCTCTACAACTTTTCTATTGACACGAAAATGGGTTTCTTTTGAAGAAAGTGCTCAAACTGAGCTGACAGCTGACATCTCCAGTCCTCCATTTTTGAGTCTCACACTTGTCTCACACACAAACCAAAATCCTACTACGAAAGAGGAATCCGCAAATTGCCTGTAAAATGGACAGAAATTGTCAATAATAATGGAAATTATTTGGAATGAATTGATCGTTTTATGTTGAGTGAATTTTAGTTCAAAGTGTCGCAGTTTTCAATTCACTAACCCAATAAATTAGTTTTTGAATTGTTTCTAAAGAGAAAAATGGAAATGCCGATGGACAACGATGGACAATTAACTTTGCAAATCTAAAAGTCTTTCCGAAATCTGCCTATAAACTTGGGCTTTATAAAGTCCATACAAAACTTTGAGCGCTTCTAACTTTTGACAGAGTGCTCCATAGTAGAAACGGAAAGCAGATTAGGAATCGGCCTTGAATTCTGCATCGAATAACCTGTAACACGTGTCATTTGATCACAAAAACCCAGTTGACATTCCCTAGCAAATCTGGAAGACAGTATGGGTAGTAAGTTTTACTTTTGATAACACTAAGGCTTCTTCTCCAAGACAGTTTTGCCTTTTAGAACTTGAGCAATATTAAAAACAAGTTGTAAATCAAATCAAACCCAATAAATCAAATTTTTCTTTGGTTCGGTCAATTGCCTGGTAAAGCTGGCTTTGTTCTGGCTTGTGGATCCGTCAAATCTTTTATTAAATCCTTGTCAAAGTCAGTGTTTGGGTGCAGAATTGGTTTTGTAGAGTTAAAGTTGTCGCCAGTCATTTCTTCAACTGTTTTTACCCAAATGACTCCTTTTTCCAGATTCTTTTCCCAATCACAGCAGGCAGCTTTGAAGTAGTGATCAAGTCGCCGAGAGTCGAAGAGGAAAGGTAAGAATTGATTAAAAATGATACAAAATCAGTGACGGATCGTTTTTTTTTTTGATAAAAGTTCTCTCCCCACTCCAAGAATCATTTGTATGGCTCGAAGCAAGGAAGTTAGAGAAAAATAGAGCTCAAATTGGAAAATTTTGAATATTTTTACCCTAGAAATCCTTCTTAATAAAGATTTTTGTTTTGAAAATCCGTTTTTTTTTGGCTAAATTACGCACGGACTCTCCTGGCTTCTTTGCTCAAATTTAACGGTGCTTAAAAACTCTTCAAAACTCTTCTAATCTGACCATAAAACGGCTAGTTTTAAAGAGAAATGTTTCTTTTTCTTCTAATATTTAAAAAGTTGATTTTATTTCAGCTTTTAAAAGAATTAGAATTAGCATTAAAGGTGAGAAAAAAGTAAATGAGTTCCGCAAGTAACCAATCCAAAAAAAAAGCTTTTCAAAATAAAAATCTTTATGAAAAAGCATTTCTAGGGTAAAAATCGTCAAATATTTCAAATTTTATGCCCGTTTTTCTTTATTTGATTTCATTTTTGCTGTAGAAACGACGATGTTTAAAGAGGAGACAGAACTTTTCACCTATATTGTTTTGATTTAATGTTGAAACTCTATCATAGCCAAATTGAATTCAGAGCAATGATCATGGCCGAGATTTCTCGACCATGATCATTGCCATGATCACCTCTCATGGAATTCTAAGCCATGAGAATTCTAAGCAACTCACTAGAAGTGATTTGAAACGCCCGACTGGGTGCGGAGGAGGAAGAGAGAATGACACAACTACAATTAAAACTCTACCGTAACCAAATTCAATGTAAAACTCATTCAGAGCAATGATCATGGCCGAGATTTCTCTACTCAAATCCGTCGGCTATCATCCACAATTGTTGTCACTTCTTGGTTGCTGTACAGACTCGAAAAATCCGTTGCTGATCACGGACTTTTGTGAGAACGGAGATCTGCTGACGTTGTTGAAAGCAATGGATAATGATGTAAACTTTAAGAAAACTAGTTTACCGTAATACTCAGCTGCTAGATTCATTCAAATTCATTCAAGAATATCCTTCAAACCAGCCGAAAAACTCGCCTAATAGCGGGTTTCTAGCTGATGCTTCCGTTGCCGTGGCGCAGTCGGAAGCGCGCTGGTCTACAGTCTAGACGATCCGGGTTCGACCCCCCGTAGTGTCACTCAATCTTGTTTCTTTAAGTTTTTATTTTAAATGACACAACTACAATATATTCTAAAGAAGTTTTAGCTTGATTAGTCAAAACACAGCCGAGAAAATGCCGGTAAAGACAGACAGACAGACAGACACAGCTCTTTTATATACTTTAGTAGTATAGTAGCTCTTTTATATAGTGGATTCATCAAACAAGCTTAAAAAAATCGAAAGCTGATTTGTATTAAAATCTATAAATCCAGTAAGTGATGTGGAAAACTTTTGGCTCACCTTGTACTGTAGGAAACAGGATACTAACGCTTATAGTAGGCATCAGCTATCGCAGTCACGGCAAGCCACCAACGGCTAGCCACTAAGGAACGATTTGTTAAGGGTTAGCCACTAAGGAATGATTTGTTAACAGCCAGCCGATTACGAATGAAATTTTTTGCCGTGTACAATTTGTAATCGGCTTCTGCGAACATGGCTCGTTTCAAATGAGTTTTTGATTTCAAACTATTTATGCAAAATCGTAAATCAGCAAACTAATCACAACAAGTGAAGGAAAATTTATAGCATTAACATGTATAACATATGTCAAGAATATACAGAATCAACTCTAAATGGCAATCTTAGAACGAAGTTGATAATTTAAGGCTAGAAACCGCTGGGTGAAAACTAGAAACGGAAGTGCATTTTCATTTTATTTGGGTGATCGCTATGTATAACATATTAACGTTTATAACATAATAACGCTTATAACAAACAAAACATCAACTAAAATGCATCCGAACCAATTGAAGAACAGTTAAGTTGACTTGGCAGCGTTCATTTTGCTCCTTTGTTATGATCGGCTTCACAACAACTCCCTTTTTGGCGTCCCCTTCTTTAATTCGGCTAGCCGGCTAAACGGCTAACGAATGATTCGTTAGCGGCTGAATTTCGTAAACGGCTACGACAGATATATTCTTTTATATATTCTTTATTTTTCAATAAACAAAAGATATTCAATTTTGTCATGCTGATGCCAGAATTTACAACATTTTTTTGTTTAGATCGATTTCTACGAAGAGTTGACGCCAAGTGATTTCCCGTCGATTATTTGGCAAATTGCGAATGGAATGGTTGGTAAAAGTTGAGAAGTTCAAAGATTTTAAATTGCCTAGTTCAACTTTCCTTCATTTTTTGCTAAGAATCCAATTTCCAGAGTTTCCTTGCCTCAACTGGTGTCATTCATCGAGAGCTCGGCGCAAGAAATGTCTTGATCACCGCGAATAAGAATGCAAAGGTGATCAGATAGTAAAAACTGTTAGAACAATAATGGAAAAGATTGCTGAATATCATCATATCATTTTGTTTTAGATTTGTAACTTTGGCAAAGCGCGTACAGGGGATCAAACACAAAAGAATGGAGGAGACTTTCCGTTCAAATGGACTTCTCCAGAAGCCATCGAACAACGCGCTTTTTCAGAGAAATCTGATGTGTAAGTTGAAAAGCAAAAGGCATTTATTGAAAGCCAATAATGTGATACAAATAAAGGATAGATAATAAGACATAAAGGTCTAAAGGTCGTTACCCCTACGGCCGTCACCCCTACGGCCGTCACCCCTACGGCCGTCACCCCTACGGCCGTCACCCCTACGGCCGTCACCCCTACGGCCGTCACCCCTACGGCCGTTACCCCTACGGCCGTCACCCCTACGGCCGTTACCCCTACGGCCGTTACCCCTACGGCCGTTACCCCTACGGCCGTTACCCCTACGGCCGTTACCCCTACGGCCGTTACCCCTACGGCCGTTACCCCTACGGCCGTTACCCCTACGGCCGTTACCCCTATTATCTTTATTACCCAAATGTTGTGAAAGAAAAAAACCAACTTGGTGGGAAAAAGAAACATTTTTATCTTGCCATTGAACCGTCGATCTTTCGCTTAAGATTTGAAACGCTTAAGAGATAAGACTCCTAACCGGTCGGCCATCTGGTAAACGTTAAAGTTAAAAGTTAAGTTAAAAGTATTAATTGAGAAGTATGGGGGTGGGACAAATGCGATCTTTTTTTTTGCGTACCTGGACATTTGCGCACCTTTTTTTTGCTGGAAAAGGCCTTAGGCAAGGCCGTAGAGCCGTAGAGCTAGAAAATGCCTTAGGAAAGGTCGTAGAGCTTCGAAAATATTTCCATATAAGGGAATCGTATGCGTAGATTCAGAATTTCGACAAATCAGACCTTGCTGACACGTCAAATTTGGGCTAAAAGGCAAAAACTGCGGAAAAGCGTTAAGTTGCGTAGTTTTTGCCTTTTAGCCCAAATTTGACGTGTCAGCGAGGTCTGATTTGTCAAAATTCTGAATCTACGCATACGATTCCCTTGTATGGAAATACTTTAGAAGCTCTACGGCCTTGCCTAAGGCCTTTTCCAGCAAAAAAAGGTGCGCAAATGTCCAGGTGCGCAAAAAAAGGTCGCATTTGTCCCACTCCCAGAAGTATTCGAAATTCAGACTTTTAAATGATGCTATTTATTTAATTCAATTTTCCAATTGAAACTCGGGTTTAAGTGCTCTAAACTTTTAGATGAATTTGTCGATTTCTTGGTCAATTAAACGTTTTTCTAAAAACTCTGGAGAAGCCTCAAAAATTCCCAAATTCTAAATGAATCTTTAGTTGGTCTTTCGGCATTCTTCTATGGGAAGTCTATACTTTTGGAAAAGATCCGTACGCTGAAATGGAAAGCTACGATCTTCTTGAAAAGATTAAAGATGGCCATCGTCTAGAACCACCAAAAGAAACACCGGAAACGATGTAGGTTGAGAAAATGATTTTTTTCCGAACCTTGAAAATGCTTTTAAATCATTTCAGCTCATATTTAATGTCATCTTGCTGGAAAAAAGATGCCGAGGAAAGGCCAGAGTTCACGAAAATCGCCTATAATCTCTCTCAATTCTACCAGAAAAAACCGAGAAATGTTTTTGATCGGAATCAGGGGTTTGTTAAGTTTTATACCGAGTTTTAAAACTCTAAAATTCAAAATAAGTATTCAGTTATTTAAATGAAAACTTGTGGCTTTATTAAGCGTTTGATTTGCTTGGCTTTACTTTGCTTTGCTTGACTTTGCTTTACTTTGCTTTACTTTTGAAGTTCGGCTCTCTCAAAAGTTCTAACACAACTTTTTGTAAAAGCTAGCAAATGTCTAACTTATTTTAAAAGTGGTAAGTATTGGATAGAGATTTAAAGCCCGGAATCTTGGCTACATTTACATATCAAAAGCTCTCGAATTCGATGCATACAACTTATTTAGCAAGCTCTCGAATGAGCTCAACGCGGCATCCCTCCGCTGCTATTTTTAAAGATTTTGTTTATAAAAAATTTTTCCTTAGAAAGGCTTCCGTAAAACAATTTTGCATTTTGCAAAAGAAAGAGTGGCTCTAACATAACAAAAAATGTGCTTTCATTGGAATGCTTACGGTGAGCTGACCTTTTGAATGTTTTGAAGGAGTTGAAGAACTTGATTGGCCATTGGTCGGGAGGAACCATCGAAACTTGTGCAACTGAAAGAGATCATTTCTTAGTTCAAGTCATATTTTTTAAAATAAGCGAATAAGCTTTCACACCTGTTCACAACTATTTTTATATTTTCTTGGCACTTTGGAGATTCAACTTTCGAGATTCGGCCACACAAAATTCTTTTTTGAAGTTCTCTTCCATAGATAAAATCTCCATTTGTGCCAATTTCATCGGAAAAAACAACTCTATGCAATCACATTTTATTTTTTACTAAAATTTGAGTCGAACCTTCGTTCGATCATCTCCTAAATGACCAACCCCGCACTGTAGACATTTCGATGCATTTTCTGAGTTTTAAACAAGAAGATAATTCAAATTTTTTTTGTGTAAAACCTAGTAAAACAAATGTCTAACTTATTTTAAAAGTGGTAAGTGTTGGATAGATATTTAAAGCCCGGAATCTTGGCTACATTTACATACGAAAAGCTTTCAAATTCGATGCATACAACTCATTTAGCAAGCTATTGAATGAGCTCAACGCCTCTGGCTTGCTGCTATTTTTGAAGTTTTTTCTTTATAAAAGCCTTCTAAAAGAGCTTTTTTGTTATTTATTTCATTAAAATATAACATCTCTTATTACTTAATAACAATAAGAATAAGAATAACTGTTTTGTCAAACTTTCCTAACCAAAATTCAATTTGTTTTGAAGCTCAAGGAAAAAAGCGAAAATTCAGCGTTTTTTTTGATGTTTTTATCCAGATTTTGATACAAAAAAGGGATCAGTTTGAGTCTGGAAAGATTTAAGACATCTCTGGATACAAAAAAAGTAATCAGTTTGAGTCTGGAAAGATTTAAGACATCTCCGGAGCTTCAAACGCCGACAACGAGCTTTGTCTTTAAGATTCTCGTTGATTTTTCAAGGCTAATCGTGGTTTGGAATTGATTTTCTCTTTGGCGTCATGTTACTGAAGTTATTTATAAAGTACAAATTTCAGTCTCCCCACTCAAGCATCTCAAAAACGTGGTCCCAAATATGTAAACATCTCCGGAGCTTCAAACGCCGACAAGGAGCCTCGTCTTTAAAATTTGGATCTTTACTTTTTAAAATAAAATTTTCACATTTCTATTCATTTGGTGGTCAACAGTGACAGCAATTCAACAGATTTATTTTTGAAATTCATCAAAAACACTCATTGCGATGGATCCGGACGCAAAAACTATACTTGTTACAAGTATTCATTCAATGATTCATTCATTTATAGTACTTCGAAGTTCAAGATGCCAGCCTCTCGGCAGAATCGTTTTTTTCGCAGGATTTGCATAGATTTTGTAGAATTTCCCGCTTCGTATTTACTCATTTTTACTTTTTATTAAGAAATCGAATTATTTGGAGCATTTCAAATCAGAAGATTTCAATAATTCCAAAATTTTGAGAGCGAATAGTTGAATTCTTTGAAAGCTGAGCAGAGCGGCGAGTATCAAAATATCTTTGTCTGCCTGAGATACTGTGAGTTTAGAATGTTCTCGGACATTACAAGGAGATAAAGAATTTGAAAGAGATTCAGTCTTGGCGCTGAATATCTTTCAAATTGAACGAAAATCTTTCAATACTGACATTGGAGTAAACATTCATGCTCCACTTTGATTCAAAATTGAATGATAGCTTTATTGAAAACAATGATACCGTATTTTCTCTAATGGTAGTGCAGCCTGAGCGTCGCCTGAATTCCTCAAAATCTCGAGAAGCGCTTATCAGAACCTATTGATGTGGGGTCGGAAAATGTAGCTGACGATGAGATCTAGTGGGGGATTAGAGTGTTGAGCTTCTGGGGAGACTTTGGACGCCGTAAAATAGTCACCAACTCGGCTCGCCTAGGTGCACTACTATTAGAGAAAATACGGTACTAAAATGTCCGGTAATTGGCTTTAAGAAATCGGACTCTGACGGAATCAAGAAAATAATCTTTAGGTGGCTTTTTCTAATAGCAGTGCACCCAGAGCCTCGCCTAAATTCTTCGAAATCTCGTCAACCGCTTATCAGAACCTATTGATGTGGGGTCGGAAAATGTAGCTGACGATGAGATCTTAGTGGGGGATTTGAGTGTTGAGCTTCTGTGAAAGCTTGGAAACCGTCAAATAGTCACCAACTCGACTCACCTGGGTGCACTACTATTAGAGAGAATACAATAACAATAAACTTTCAAAATAAACAAAGATTTAGGATGATTAAAGATAATGAGAGACTAGGCTCATAACAAATGACTTTTGTTTTCTTAATCTTTTCACAAATCATCTCCTCCTTGATTGGCTTCCTCCATCTCGGGTTGACCAAAGCTGGAAATGAAGACAAAGTATAAAGTTTTGACATTCAATCATGATTTTTCATTCAATTGTAGAACACTACAATTTCTAGTTTTTTCTAGAACATTACATTACAATATACATTACAAGATAAAACTAGATGCCTAGATAAAACTGATAAACTTGTTTACTAATTCTTTAAAGTTTAATCTTCTGAAAGTTTTGAACTAGTAAGGAAGTCTGTAAGTTGCTTGACACTTTAAAGACTTACCCTTGAATGTGCTCAGGGTTCTTGAAGCGAACAAAGATTTGATTCGAGAAACGCGTCTTGTTCTTAATTTTATAACCAAAAAAGGCAAGAAAGCCGACAACTATGATTGAGGCAAACAAATAGAAGACGATCATCCAACCAGACGATTTTGAACAAGCATCGGCTAAATTTGTCTCTCTTTCTTTCTTTCATGCTTTCATTCTTTCTTTCTTTCTTTCTTTCTTTCTTCCTTTTCTCTCCATTGTCTTTCCTTCTTTCTCTTAGGAATTAAGGTACCGGATACCTCAGTGGTTAGAGCAATTGGAAAGCAAAAACCTTACCCAAACGGCTTACCCAAAAAAGGCGAAGGCTTACCCAAACTGATCGCAATTTCAAATCCACGACCAACATCCGTTTCATCGGTATGGAAACGAATTTGCAATGCGTTTACTCCAGTATCGACCATGGTGACATTGCTGAGAAAGTAGCGGCTGAAAATTTGTAACTTTCTTTAATAAATATTTACAGTCAAATAGATTTTGCGAATCGTTCCCTCACCAACAAATTATTATGCAAATTGATCTTTAACATCTTCCTTCATTGAATTTTAACATGTTTTATCCTAGTTTTCAGATGGTTTTGAATAGATTTGAGCGAGGATTAATGAATTTAAACCAAATGAAATCATTTCTACTATTTTCCCCATATCTTTACCAGAAATGCCGGCAAAAATTGACATTTCTACTGTTTGGTTGGCGGGGAAAAGATGCAGAAGTAGCGTCTATTCAATTTACGTGGCCTAATGGACAAGATTAAACCTGGCCTCATCAAAAAACAAGCCTAGACCTAGCTTCTAACTTTTCCTGGCTTCGCAAAGATCCAGAAGTAGCGTGTATTCAATTTACGTGGCCTAATGAGCAAGATTAAACCTGGCCTCATCAAAAAACAAGCCTAGACCTAGCTTCTAACTTTTCCTGGCCTTATAAAAGTAAGACCAGGTTGGAATATTTCTGCTAATTTGTTGTGATTTTGATATTACTCAAACTCTTTCTTCTTAAAGTCTTTATTCCAAAAGTCTTTATTCTTAAAGTCTTTATTCTTTATTATTAAAGAATTCTTTTAATGAATTTCTTTCTTTTAATCATTTGTTTAACCCCAAAAATCAATTCTTAAACGAACCCTTTGTTAGTCACGTAGAAAAGCGAATCGCTGAGATCAGGAATATCATAAAAAGTGATGTTGAGTTGAATTTTCGTGTCCGCTGGAGCCAAAAAGTCGTAGGCACATCGAAGATAGTCACAGTAGCTAGATTGGACTTTTAAAGATAAAGTTTAGATGTTAAATTTACCTTGAGTTTTGTTCAAAACCCGGAGAAGTTAGATGAAAAATCTCTCCTCGTTTCAAAGTTCTTTTTTGATTGTTGCAGATACAGGCTAAAATCTAAGAGTTGTCTACGGATTTGATTATTCAAAATTGATTTAAAGTTGATTTTTAATTGATTTTTAATTAATTTTCTTTTCAACTCACGATCTTTCCATTTCAGCGAAATCTCGATGTTCAACATCTCATTTTTGATCGTTTCATTGTTGAGTTGAGCGTCCTCGGAGGGGATTTTGAGATGAAGAAAATATGTGGAAACGTTTCTGAAAAGAAAAGCTTTGGTTTTTAGCTTTCAAATAGCCATTAGCTTTCAAATCTACGATATATTTCTGTCCGTCCGTCTTTACGAGCTTTTTCTCAGCCATCTTTGGACCAAAAAAACTGAAATCATTTAAAAAGTCTTAAAATATCATATAGTTGGACTATTTCAAATCAAAAATTTAAAAAATTAAAGTCGAAAGCACTCGGGGGCAGAACCTGGGCCGTGTGGGCCGTAGACCAGCCGGTTCCCGACTTCGCCAAGGTAAAACGGGGCCTCGGGGGAAAATTCGCCGTTATGTGGGTTTTTGGCTGATATGTCGATATCTTTTTCTTTACATTATAACTCTAGAAAGCTATCTAAAGCAAAGATTTTAGATTTGAATCGAGCAAAGAACAGAGTTAATTAACAGTAGAATAGCTAGGAGCTGGGTTAGAGTTAGACCAAAAATCTAGACAAAACCAAGCCATGATTCAGTGATTCAGTGTTCGTCTAGCCCTACTTCTAGGTGTCTATTTGTCTTCTAGGTGTCTATCTAACCCTACTTCTAGGTGTCTATACATTGTCTATATCTGGCAGAAACTTCAGAATTGAACTCATACAAAACAAGACTCAAGACCCACTCAGCTCAAGAATACAGAACAACAGAACAACAGAACATCACTTTGCTCCCTCTCCAAAATCTTGTGTCGTGAAAGCACCTTGAAGGGGAAGACCACTAAAATAAGCTTTGTTTTCCAATTTCTCACAACTAACCGTTGAACTTTTCCATCAAAGATCAATGACAGGTGCTCATCTGTATCCAAAACACCGGATGAGCTCATGTTGAAGGCAAGGATCTTTCCCGGTTTGTCATTCTTGATCACCATCCAGCAGTCCATTGGAGCACAATAGTGTGGGAAATTGAAGCGATGAACGGCGGATTGATCGAAGAACTCGAGCACGTTGCCGGGGGTAGGACGGAAACAAGTACACTCTAAAAGATAAAGTTTTATTCAAAAGTAAACTATTTTGTCAAGAGAATGAGAGAATCGATCTCGGAATTGTTCAGGCTCTAAGGTGTTGCCTGCTAGCTAGGCTGGTGGCTATCTAGTCTGCTAGCTGGACTGGCGACTATCGGAGCGAAAGGGGAAAGGATTTTGGACGTTTTGGCCCTAAGAGAATCGCAACTCGTTTTCATATCTGGTTGATCCTGCTAGTGACAATATGCTCATGTTAAAGAGTAAGCCATGCATATCTTATAATGGTCAGAAGTGGCCGTAAGATTTTGGTACGAAAATGAGAGCACCTATCAAATACCGTGAGTACGATGGTGCTTTCGGATTTTGCTAAGGATCGCTAGTTTTCGAGAACAATAGCTTTGAAATTTCGGTGTCTACTCGAAAACGAAGCGAAGCGTAAAAGACAAACGAGACAGACGAGGCGCAAAAGGACTTCTTTCAGGCAAACAAAAAGATCCTTGTGGTCAGCAGGTAAAGTCCTGGTCCTGGCCTTCCATTCTTGCCATCCTGCTTCCATCCCAGCGCGATCTTTCTTGCTTTTCTTTGCATTTTATATATTCAAGGGTTACAAAGCTTTTAAACTTTAGTTTTTTGATATCTGCTAGCTAGTTTGTTAAGAGCTTTATTGCTTTATTGCTGAGCTAGAAGTTGTCGTGGAAATCATTGCCCTTGAGTTCCCGGGTCAATTTGATACTCCCATCAGAGGTTTTTTTAAGGAATTGTATTTCTAATTGTGATATTGTGTCATTTTTTGAGAACGTGTTGATGTTTTTGCGTTGAAATTCAACGAAAAACTCTCTAATCATTTTCTAAAGGAATTGCATTTTTGTTTTTTGATTTTTTTGGTTGAGTTTTATAGAGAAAATTGTTGAATAATGGCAAAAAAACTTCAAATTCCCTAGATAGTTCAAGTTTTTTACGGATTGACTGTGAACGGCTTATTATAACAGCTAAAAAACAGTTAAATTAGCATTTTGGATACTTCTAGGAATTCTAGAGGTAATCTTCTAGTTCTAGAGGTCATTTATTAGATTCACCAATTGCTTCGGCGTCAAGAAATGATCCTAAATTTCTTTCAGATGAGCGACAATTCCCAAAATTAACTGCACTATCAACTTTTAATGATAGTTTAGTTGACTACCATGGTCGTAACGGGTAACGGAGGATCAGGGTTTGACTTGGATCAGGGTTTGACTCTGAGATCCAAGTTTCCAGCCGAAATTATAGCAAAGCCAAGACCAGTGCTTTTAGTTAGTCTAACCTAAAAGCCTGAAAGCCAAGCCTGAAAGCTAAGCCAGAAAGCCAAGCCAGAAAGCCAAGCCTGAAAGCCAAGCCTGAAAGCTAATCCAGAAAGCCAAGCCATGCTCAAGTTCGAATCCCATCTAGCCCATTTTTAGCAATTGAAAACAAATCAAAACTCAAAAGGCTTAGCATCAAAGGCCATTCAAAATCCAAGGCTTTCCCCTGACCATCCAGGGGAAAGCTATAGATTTCTCTTGGTCTGACTTTGACTTGGCTTGATTCCCTTAGTCTATACAATACAGAAAGATACAGTTTTTAAATCAATTTATCTATTCAATCACCTTTCGGAAGATAGTGAGCCGAGACATGGAATTTGACAGCACCTTTTTGAATGACAACATTCACACAGTCGGTGGCCAAGCTGATCGATCCGTGACGAACGGATGTGTAGCTAAAAGGACTCAAAATAGTTTGTGAATAGTTGTAGACTTGAGCTTTTCTGTAAAATTTAATTTAAAACACTCACTTGTAAACCTTTCCGCTGATCGATGGGAAATTTGGAGCTTCGACATTGAAAGTGGCTGGATGGAGAGCTTTTGTCTGAATAAAGAATACTTTTGAATGAAAAGATGATTAGGCTTTTTGGATTTGATTAGATTAATTGTTTTGAATTCACTTTATCAGCTTTTTCAAAAGCTTTCTTGATCTTTAGAGTTAGCAACTTCAAAGTTCTTACATGATAATCAAGAATGATGATTGGAGTATGGGTCAAATTTGGTCTCAACTCGAGTTTAATCGACTGCTGACAAGCGATCTTCTCGCAAAGCTCATAATGAGTGTATGGCTCAAAAGTTCCAAACTCTTGCGTCACCTCATCCACATCGAGCTTGATCTCCGTGTTTTGGCATTCACAACCTGAAATCAGAGCTTTAAAGGCTTTATAGGCTTTATAGGCTTTATAGCTTTGAAATTTGTGATTATGGCCACCATGAACGACGCCTAAGCCTAAGCCTAAGCCTAAGCCTAAGCCTAAGCCTGAGCCTAAGCCTAAGCCTAAGCCTAAGCCTAAGCCTGAGCCTAAGCCTAAGCCTAAGCCTAAGCCTAAGCCTAAGCCTAACCCTAAGCCTAAGCCTAACCCTAAGCCTAACCCTAAGCCTAAGCCTAAGCCTAAGCCTAAGCCTAAGCCTGAGCCTAAGTCTAAGCCTAAGCCTAACCCTAAGCCTAACCCTAAGCCTAAGCCTAAGCCTAAGCCTAAGCCTAAGCCTGAGCCTAAGTCTAAGCCTAAGCCTAAGCCTAAGCCTAAGCCTAACCCTAAGCCTAAGCCTAAGCCTAAGCCTGAGCCTAAGCCTAAGCCTAAGAACTCTGTATCTTAGTCGGGAGGTCAAAGGTCCAATCCCACCGGCTAGATTATTGTTTCTTCTCCTATCCCGTAAATCTGTAAGCTAATCGGATTGTCTATTGTCATATGTCACAGTTTGAGCACTTTGGGATATGAAGGGAGTGGTATACTGGGAGTTGCTGGATAGCAAGACGACCCTTAATGCAATCAAATACAGTGAACAGTTGGAAAAGCTGTAGCGAGTCCCTCCTCCTCAGAGGGCCATCCTCAGAGGGCCAACAAAAGAAATAGTGACCCCCTCCCCATTGTTGTATTTAACATTTAGACGATTATTTAAAACTCACGACTTGATCTTGCCGTTGCCTCAAAGGAAATCGATTCGTATTTTCCTTGGCATGATCCGAAAATGACTTTATTTGTGAAGCTTCGATAAATCCCTTCAGTCACATAGGTTGTGCTGAAAGATGATCAATATCTACAGTAATCTGTGTCTACAGTAATCTGTGTCTACAGTAAATTGTGTCTACAGTAATCTTACTTTAGACAATCGTCAAAATTTGTAAGTTCTTGCAATTCTTTGAGGTCGATAAGGAAGAATTTGTTTGCTTCTGAAATTTCATTTTTTTTTAGTTTATTGTTCGCTGAGCTTTATTGCTTTATTGCTTGATTGCTGAGCTCAATTTCAGCTCAATTTCAACTCAATTTCAGCTCAATTTCAGCTCAATTTCAAAAACGAATCAACTTTACCTTTCTTTCGATCAAATTTCAGTTCAATTGTTTGTCCCTCTGGAGCTAGCATGAGAGTTGGGCATCCTAAAAATGTTTACTAAAGTAAAAAAAGAATGAAAAAGAACTTGAAACTAAGGGGAATTAAGTTAATAAACTAAAATGGGCCCTCTTGGTGTATTGGTTAAGTGCTCACTTCCAAACTGTGGGGTTCGGCCCCCCTAGGGTTCACTTCCCTAGCCCGTGCGCCCAGACTAGAGGTCTCTTCTCTAGAGCTGACTAGAGATCCCTTCTCTAGCGGAGTTCACTCTTCCACTGGGTTGGCCCATTCATGGCCTGAGGTTATTAAAGCAAGAAGCCTATCTTCTATCTATCTTCTTTTCTCCCCGCCTCCACATCGCCGAGTAAAATGTCTCATTTTTCTCTATGTATTTATGTGTAGATTTGTGTATTGTCTGACTGATTACGCTTTATTTCATGTCCTGAATAAAGTATGAATATAAAATAAAGCTAAATCTTGGTTCTAATTTTAACCAACAATGGATTAAGGTAGCTATGACGTCAAGACAAACTTTTAGCTTCTCCAATGACAATCTCAATCGTTTGCATTTTCTTGCCGATCTGGTAGTAGCCTCTGTTGCATGAATGGTAATATCCTAGAAAATATCTATATCTTTTATTTTTCGTAAACAAACCCCGCTCAACGTCTAAGTGAAATCGAAAATTGTTCGAGGTATTCGTTCGACCGATGAATTCCAATTTTGCCGGCAATCTTGCAGAGTCGATCACGTATTTCAATGTGTCACTTGTACGCGAGCCTTTTAAACTTAAATTTGAGATTAGAATTAGAAACTGCTTTACATCTTTGAAGCTTTAGAATTAGAATCTGTTTCACATCTTTGAAGCTTTAGAATTAGAATCTGTTTCACATCTTTGAAGCCTTAGAATTAGAAACTGCTTTACATCTTTGAAGCTTTAGAATTAGAATCTGTTTCACATCTTTGAAGCTTTAGAATTAGAATCTGTTTCACATCTTTGAAGCCTTAGAATTAGAAACTGCTTTACATCTTTGAAGCTTTAGAATTAGAATCTGTTTCACATCTTTGAAGCTTTAGAATTAGAAACTGCTTTACATCTTTATCAAGTCCTAAGATTAGAATCTTTATTATAAAACCGAGCTTTTCGTTGAAAATTCGAAAAATCACTTACACGGCTTTTGGAATCCAAAACGAGTGCCCATCGCCGCTTACAGTTTCACTTATTTTCAGCTGATCAAATTGTGAATCAGTCTCGAATTCTTCGATTGTAATTTGAGCTCCTGGACCGTAATATGATGAATAAAGGTGGTCGATCTAAAAAAGAGTTTTTATTCGCTTCCTAGTTATACATTCCGGGTGTGTTCCCCCCTCTGCCCCGCTGAGTACCCCCCTAAGTGCCAGAAGCATTTTGCGTTTTTCTCGAAGCACAATTTACAAATTGGAGTGTTTTTGGTGTCATTCGATGCGTCTAACTTTCCTCTATCTAATGAAATCAAAAACAACCCAATCGATAAATTGTGTGTCGAGAAAAACGCAAAATTGCCTCTGGCACTTCGGGGGTACTTAGCGGGTACTCAGGGGGCAGAGGAATGAGGAATTTCAACGAAAGCGGAATTTATACGTATTCTCTCTAATAGTAGTGCAGCCTGAGCGTCGCCTAAATTGCTCGAAATCTCGAAATCTCTGATCAGAACCTATCGATGTGGGGTCGGAAAATGTAGCTGACGATGAGATCTAGTGGGGGATTTGAGTGTTGAGCTTCTGTGAAAGCTTGGAAACCGTCAAATAGTCATCAACTCGGCTCGGCGGGGTGCACTACTATTAGAGAGAATATGTTATTCCTAAAGCTCCCTTGCAAACAACTAGAATGTTTTGAAAATTCCACATTTCATGAAACTTTTTGTCAGATTGGTTTACAATTCAAAACCCTATAGCGCCAAAAATTCCAATGATGATCAAGCTCGATCACCAATCAAAAACTTTGACATTTTATCTTAAAAGAAGATTAAAAATGACTTACGATCCATGTGCAATTTGTGGGAGATGGGTACTGTTGTGGATAGTTGGGCGACTTGATGATATCCCGTCCTTTGGACAAATGATTCACTTTTGTGCAATCCATGTGAACTAGTGGAGAAGCGACAGTCATTGTGGGTTTATTATAGTCTTCAGAACTCGAAAACATGAACTCGAGTTGGGCTGTAAAAGGTATAATACTTGCTTGTTAGTCGATCCAACTTTCTAAGTTTCTTTCTTGTTCTAAGTTTCTTTTTTTTCTTGATTCTTTCAGTAAGGCATTTTAGACTAGTTGCTTTCCGACTAGGAGAACTGGGTGAATGAAGGATTCAGGAGTAAGACATAAGAGCTTACTCTGGCGGCAATGAGATACGTATTGGTGTAGCTCATTTGGTGAGGTCGCGGGTTCGAATCCCGGTGCCGACAATTTTTTTGTATTCCCAGTCACAACCCATAAAAGCTGACGGAGGACCGGAGTGTCCAACTTTTCCTGTCTATTCATTTCTAAGTATTGAACGTGCTACAATAGTTCACTAATGTTTTAACTTCAGTGCGCCAGAAGTACGGTAACTTTCTTAAGTTCATCTTTTAGTAAAAGTATTGATTAGCAAAGCAAATAACCCAGCAGTAATTGTAAATCGAATTGCTGATTTAAAGCAAGTAAAACCAGGTCCATCCAGCGTTATCCTGTTATGTTTATCGACATAAATCTTGAGCAAACAATCCAAACTTATAAACAAGTTTTGAACTGCATAACAAACGTTCAAACTCAAAAACAAACCTTTAGCAACACATGCTATCCCAAATAAGAGCAAAAGTCGCAAATTCATTGATTTGATCAAGAAAAGATTCCAGAGAAATGTCGATCAAGTTCGAAAAAACAAAAATCGTTTCCCGATACAGAAATATTGGCAGATTTGATGAGAGATAAGAAAAGCCAATCTCAAGCCGATTAAAATAAAGCAGATGCTGATTACAATAAAGCAGATGTAGATACAATAATTAAAGCAGATGCTGAATAGTCTAGGCTAATTGAAATATTGCTAATAATCGTTCAATTAGTTGTTTCGATAGCTTTATTGTGAATGAGAGAAAAGACCGGAAGGCATTTTAGCTTAAATATTCGAATTTTCGATTGTTTATATCGTGAAAGTATCGAAAGTATTGAAGGTTCGATGTTAAAAACGATTTTGACTCACCAGCATACTAAAATATGTCTTTTATATAGAATTTTTCCATAAAATTGATCTCCAAGTGCTTGAAATGCGATGCGATGAGAGAAAGATGATAAAAAAATAAAGCATTGTTTTATTACACAGCACTGATGTGTTGTTTAATAATGTTTTTAAATTTCTAAAAAACCAAAAGTGCCGACGTGGATTGGAGGCGAAGTTGGGCCGTGTGGGCTAGAGAAAAACGCGCTGGCACTGCGCCATCTAAATGGCCGAGTGGCTAACGCGCTCATCTTTGAAACGAACGGAAGAGAGTTCGCAGATTCGACTCCTCTCGTCGCCAATTCTTTTGCTTTATTATCTAAAAATTTTTGGTAAAGCAGCAGCAGCAAAACTGCTGGTATTGAATCAAAAAAAGTATAAAATTAACTTCTCGTAGAGTCGCGTAACTTCTTAGAAACTTTCTCAGCGCTTAGATTTTTTTTCAACGACACTTTTGGTACCAAAAAAATACTAGATTTCAAGGGCTATCATTTGACACCAAAGCGCACACTGTAGCATAAAGCAATGCGGAGAACGAGACGTTCAAAGTTAGACTACGTGCCTGTACGCCAGTCGTTATGGGGGTGGGGTACTATTACAGGATTTACGGTAGGCACTTTTCAACAAGAGAGAGTTGACACTACGCTAGAAGGGATTTGTTTGTGAATTTGTTGAGAACAAAGTAAAGTCAAAAGAAAAACCCATCAAACAGACACCCAAAAATCAAGAAATTTTCAGCTTATTTCTTTGACTCATAATGGATCATGAAAATAAGCTTTCGAGCAAGAACGAGCAAGAACGAGCAAGAAATAAGCAAGAACGAGACGGTGGCGTTCATTCGAGCCAAATCACCCATCAAACAAACACAGTTTCGCATGTTTTTCAAGACTGTTTTTATTTTGACGAGAGATTTGATTCTTTAAATTCATTCATTTAAAATAACAATTGAACTGTTACTTAAAACAAAAGTGTGGCGTTTAAAAGGTTTTTTGAAGGGTTTTTCAATTGAAAACAGTTTCAAATCGGTGAACCCGATGACAGTTTTTCTCAATGACCGCAAAGTACAGTGACAACATTTTGGAAAAGTATCTGCGAAATGTCGAATTTATTTCAAAAGTGTCAGGTATTATATAGAGAGTTGTAGTCCGTAATCTTGGCTACATTTATCTACTAAAAACTACCCGATTCGACTTATACAGCTCATTTAACAATCGCTTGAATAAGCGCTAGTCGACATCTCGAATCTGTCATTTATCAATCTGGAATCTGTCAAGCGCACTAAAAATGCTTCTTTGAAGAGCTAGGTGGCTTTGATCAGGATGGTTTAAGTCTAGAAATGCTCCCCAGAATTTCAGCTTCAAAATACGATCTACTAAATCAAATTTTGATCTAGTTTTTAGCTGAAAAATGCTTCTTTTGTAAAGTGTGCGGGAACTTTTTGATTTGAAATAAGCAAGAACGAGACGGTGGCGTTCATTCGAGCCAAATCACCCATCAAACAAACACAGTTTTGACCTTTGGTTAACTTTAGTGAGGTGACAGAACTTTTGGACTGTATCTTGGAGTCAAAATCTTCACGAGTCAAGCTTTAAGATCGGATTTCAAGCTTGGTAAATTTCAATTTCTACTTTTAAATCTTAATATTTGTCAGTATCTCTAAGGCGATTTATTAGTGTAAACGGGACAATGAACAGCTTGCTTTTTAAGCATTTGACTGACAAGTTTCTTGTAGATTTGTTAACCAGGCTTAACGTGGCTTCAACTTTGACCTTCAACTTTGTTAACGGCTTAACGAGGCTTCAACTTTGACCAGTCATATCAGCGCATTGAAATTCCCGAGCAATCTGAAAGTTTTTTATCAAAAAGCCTAGATTATCAGCTTTATTTTGATACTAAACATTTAACAAAAGCTTTAAAAGTACTTTAAAAAGGTAAGCATTTGACTGACAAGTTCCTTGTAGATTTGTTAACGAGGCTTAGCGAGGCTTCAACTTTGACCATCCATATCAGTGCATTGAAAGTTGCTAGCAATCTGAAACTTCTTCGATCAGAAAGCCTAGATTATCAGCTTTATTTTGATACTAAACATTCCACAAAAGCTTTAAAATGACTCTAAAAAGATTATCGATACTTAACGAGGCCTCAAGGGTAGTAACTTTTAGTTTTAACATCAATTTTGTGTACTATTTTAAAGAATTTTGCTGAATTTTTGATATTAAAATCAAGCTAATAATATTGGCTTTCTGATCTAAAAATTTCAGATTGCTAGGGAATTTCAGTGAGCCGATATGGCTGTCCGAACGGGAGCAACTCCGTTATCCAGGTTCCTTGTAGACTCAAAGTTAAAACCAATGTTTTTTCTAGTAAAAATAGAAGCCAAGTACATATTTGTTTAAGAAAATCGTCGAAAAATACAAAAGTCAACAAATTTCCTCTTCAACTCTTCAACTTTTCAACTTTTTCCCCTCACTCTCACTTCCAATTTGTCGAAGAAAAATCGTAAACACAAGATCTGAGCAAGAGATTTTTTCCTGGTGAGATTCACGTTTTCACTTCACCTTTTCACTCAATAAAATTTCATTTTCAAAACCCACATGAGTTTTTTTAAAAAACAGAAACGTTTTTCTAATTGTTTTCTTTCAAATTAACTTCAAAAACCCTTCAATTTCCTCATTGATCATTCAATTTTTCACTTTAAACTTCACCGTAAAAAATTGGCATCAAATTTCTAAGAAATAATTGATGAAAAGGGAAAATGTTCGTTCTTGAACTTGCTTTTTGAGCTTCCCTACCAAAGATCGTTAATTTATGAATTCTTTTAAACAATTTCCTTATTCAGCTGGCTTTTTGGCATAACAATTGTTTCTGAAAATCAAATCAGAAAAATTTCTTTTGCTTATTTAAAGAATGAGACCGATTCTAACTAAATCTAAAGTAAAAGATCCGTTTAAACCAATTAAAATCTAGTTTTAATTGATAGAATTAATCCAATAGCTCAAATCAAATAGCTCAAATCGATTGAAGTTCTCAAAATCAACACTTTTTCGTCAAAACCTCACCAAAATCTCACCAAATTCTCACCAAAATTCTTTCCTCCATTCCCATCGTTGGCAGAAAAGAAAGTTTGCGTAACCCCCGTGCCAATAGAAAGTGCGCTTTGTGCAAAAGAATCCAAAAGAAAAGAAAAAGAATGATTTTCGTCTGTCGATTCAATGTTTGCCTGTCATCTTCTCTTTCTTTTCTTCTTTTTTTTCTTTTACCGCTTCTCCCGGATCCATTTTTTTGGCCTTTTGATACTGGTAATGTTATTTGTCAAATCAATAACTTTCCATAGTTCTTTATCTTCTTTCTTTCACAATTTTTACCTTAATCTACCTTCCAAGTTGAAAGCAGACTGCCAATAAATTTTCTGACGGATTCTTTGACTAATGAATGAATGCATTGACTGCCAATGAACCTTTTGCCTATGAATTGACTCTGTTTGCAATACTGACTCATTACAGGTAATGCTAGGCTTTCTTTATCGTGCACTCTTTGCTTAAATCTATAAACGCATCGTTTCTGCACCACTGCTGCACTTAATTCAATGCCAAATCAACGAAAAACTAAAGTCTAATACCATATCTAAGGCTCAGAAAATCTGTGCCCAATTTGATTCAGTGAAAATCTTATGAATTGAAATGTTTTTGTGACAAAGACAGTCAATTTTAAGTATTTATTAATGAACGAATGTGTATATTATGATAAAGTTTCAGAGATTTTACTTGAAAACTCACGATTTGGTGCAACTCAAGGTGGGGTTTTGGAATAAAACCTAAGCCTAAGCCTAAGCCTGAGCCTAAGCCTAATTGCCAGGATGCTCCTATGGGGGGCGCAAGCACAACACCAAACGGGTGTGCCTTAGCTCCGAGAACTCGCT